GTAGGTGCTACATATTTTTCTGGGAAATGCAGGTGATGTAAAAATAAAATGCATCATTTTTTAAAAAGCTTAATCCAGAAACTGGGCTTCAAATTCTACTTTGCACTAAGCTGCAATACACAAATTATGTGATGACTAAGGTATTCCAGTACCAATATGGGGAGAAAACTGGAGATGCCCACTTTTCCTCCTTTGTCCATTACACCTAGAATATCCTATCTGTTCTTTAAAGCCCACGTCAAATGCTGTGTCAAATGCTGTGTCAAATGCTATGTCAAATGCTATGGGTAATGATCTTGCCCGACTCACATCTCAAATGTCATTTTGCTCATAAATCCCTTAGGTACTTATCTTGTGATAGGAGGGCAGGAGTTACCGACTCTGGGCTGATTCTGACCAGGACCCTAACTTGACTAGACTAAATCTGATTCTGGAAGCTGACCCCGAGAGGGTCATTTTCTCCTGCTGAATCATCGTCCCCACTTGCAGTTACTCCTAGAGAGTGTCCTAATACACTGGTCATAGCTCATGACTAAGTTTCCCCAAATGTGGATAACAGGGTCCCTAGCTCCCATAAAGGCATTCGAGTTACTAAATATATATAAGGTATAGGATAGGCTTTATTTCATCCCACAGAAAAATTCAAAGATGCGAAGGACTCACAGAAAGAAGTCCAAAAACAGATACAGAAAATATATAAGAAATTCAAATAGCCCATCAGCTCCTCCCAGAAGGGAGTTGAACTTGGAGCTGCTACTGGTACAACTATTTGTTCCACAGAGTATTATAATCTCAAGATTAATACTGTGGTTAACACTACTCCTGTTTTTCAGGGACATAGAACAAGCAACCCATTTTCCATTCTACCAGAACTGTGGCAGTAATTCACTGGCTTTGCTATCTACACAGGACCCAGAGCAGGAACTATACCAACAATCATCTTCATTCTAAAGGCTTGTACTGCACAGGGAAATCCTTTTTCTCTCTAAAAGGCTGGACACCTGAATTCTCAAATTCAGGAACTCTTGAACTCGAACACAAGGCAATTCCAAAATCTGGTTCTGCCCAGGAAATCTCTCTTCTCTATCTAGATGATTAGATTCGAAGATCATGGTGCCTAGAAATTCAAAACTCCCCATCCTCAACAAAGTAGGTTGGGGTCCAGGAACACCATCCATGAAATACCTCCCAGAGCATGTGCAAATACCGGTCTAACTTGGCCATTTGCTTCCAACACAAGTTACTACCAACTGCTCTTGGCCCTCCCACTCCTAAAATTTCAGATCTACTCTGTGGTATGGGTCTGTCATCTGAAGAGGAGAAAGAAACAGAGACAAAGACAGAGAGGTCTTCTCACAGCTCAATTTTATAGACTATGGAGAGGGAAGGAAGCTCTTCCAACAGGTCTTCTCCTCATTCTCTGTCCACCAACCATCATTAGGTGATTAGCATTGGAAAGTGTGATGGATTTGGAGTTAAAGGACCTGGATTCAAATCCTGGCTATTCCACTTGCCATCTTTGGGCTAAATTCACTAACTTGAGGCCTCAGTTTCATCATCTCTAAGATGGTGTTGGATTAGATGGGCTCTAAATTACCTTCCACCTCTAAATCTATCATCCTATGATGTCTGAGCCTATGATCTTGAGTTTCCTGTGTCCACCTGGCAGGGTTACTGTGGGTTACGGTTACACATTCATTCTACATGGGGAGGGGCCCTTCAGATATCTCCGAAGGTCCCATAATCGCATCAAATTGATTGGGAATTGTTGAAAGACTTCCTAGAGCAGTTCTCTTACATTACAATAATGATGATGATGATGATGATGATGATGATGATGATAATGATAATACACATTTCTAAATGCTTTAAGGTTTACAAAGTGCTTTTCTCATAACAATACTTTACCAGGGATAGTACAAGTATTATGATAGATGAAGAAACTAAGGCACGGAGAGGCATGCAAGATCACACAACTGGTGTCAAAACTGGGTAATATTTTATGTTGTATTATATCACATCATTATTGTGTTATGCTATATTATGTCATACCATACTATTAGGAAAGATTGTTGTTCAGCTGTCCACCAGGTTGTCTTGGCAAAGATACTGGAGTGATTTGCCATTTCCTTCTCCAGTGGATTAAGGCAAGCAGAGGTTAAGTGACTTGCCTGGGGTCACACTGCTAGTAAGTCTGAAGCTGCATTACAACTCAGGTCTTCCTGACTCGAAGCTCAGCACTCTATCTACTAAGCTACCTAGCTGCCTTCTATAAGAACAGTCACTGGACCTGCAATTTCATTGGAACAAGGAATTCCTGGGTGGGGAAATGCCCTCTACCAATGCAAGTCAGCACCTTCTATGCAATTTGTTGTCTTAGAAAGTAATTATTAATCACATAGTACTTACAATGCACCTGGCACCATGCTAAGCACTTCACAATTATTATCTCATTTAATCCTCACAACAACCATGGGAGGTAGGTGCTGTTACTATCCCCATTTTATAGATGAGGAAACAGGCTGCTTGACTTTCCCAGGGTCACACAGCTAGTGTTCCTGACTCCAGGCCCAGCACTCTATTCACTGGGCCAGTTAGTTGCCTAAAGCGGTACTAAAAAGTTAAGCGACTCCTCTCAGCCAGTATATGTGAGGAGCAGAACTTGAACCCAGATCATCCTTAAAGGATAACTCTCCACCCACCATGCCATGCTTTCCCCATTATATATTTTTATCATGTTATATTGTATTATACCACATGTTATCCTACCATGTTATATTATATCCTATTTTACATACATATATCATGTTGTATTACATCAAAATACATTTTGTTATACTATATCTTATATTTGTTAAGTCATTTTTCACTCACACCCTACTCTTTGTGACAAGTTTCTTGACAAAGATACCATTTCTTTTCCAGCGAATTTTACAGATGAAGACACTGAAGCAAACAGGGTTAAGTGTCTGAGGCCAGATTTGAATTCAGGAAGAGGAATCTCACTCCAAGCCCAGTGCTCTAGCTGCCTGCACCACCTAGCTGCCACTATGTTATATATCATATTATATCATGTTATACTATATCATATTTATAATATTGTACTTTAATACATCATATCATGTTATATAGTATTAAAAAGAAACCAAAATCATTCAGCTATTCAGTGAAGTTCTTTACTCCCTAGAAGATGAAAATACAATACCACACAACTGCATACAATATGATTTGATAGGATAGGATACAATATGCAGCTAGATGGCACAGTGTATAGAGTTCTGGACTTCAGTCAGGAAGATCTGACTCAGACACTGTGTGACCCTAGAAAAGTCACTTAACCTGTTTCCTCATCTGAGTTCAAATTCAGTCTCAGAATTATTATATTAGCCGTGTGAACCTGGGCGAGTCACTTCACTTCTTTTGGCCTCAGTTTCCTCAACTGTAAAATGGGGATATTAACAGTTCCTACCTCCCAGGGTTATTGTGAGGATCAAATGAGACATTTGCTAAGAGCTTAGCATATCAGCCCTGCACATAGTAAGTGCTACATAAATGCTAGACAGTGTTATTATATAATGTAGCACAACATAATATAATATAGCACAGATAATATAATATGGGATATAATGTGTTGTGTTCTAATTTAAGTATAACATGATAATTTTTACATTGGTATCTTTACTCTATCAAGGCTATTTCTGCCTGTGCCATACCCCTGCTTCTAGAGCGCAGACACTACGAGAGCAGGCACGCGTCTCATTCAGTTTTCTGCACAGCATTCCCCAGCGCCCAGCCTGGCATTCGCCGCCTATCTGACAAGCTGCGGAGAGGTCACCCACCCCGGTCTTCCAGTAGGGCCGCCCGAGGCAGGTCCTCAGTGCGCAGCCGCCGATGCGGAGGCGGGGCCTAGCGGACGGCCACGCCCCGTAGGCGGAGCGCCTTCTCCTTGGGCCCTCCCTCCTCCCCCGGGCTCGTCCCGCTTCCCACCGTCGCCTAGATCCCTCCTCTGTCTCTTTCGCTCTCGGCTCGCGCGCGCGCGCCCCCGCGTCCCGGCTGCAGGGTTCGGCAGCGCGCCGCCGGCGGCGCGCTCTGGAAGGAGGAGGAAGGGGAGGAGGAGTCGGGGGGGGGGGTGCTGCCGCCGAAGCCGGGGCAGGAAGATGGTGGCGAGTGCGCGGGTGCAGAAGCTGGTGCGCCGCTACAAGCTGGCGATCGCCACGGCGCTGGCCATCCTGCTGCTGCAGGGCCTAGTGGTGTGGAGCTTCAGCGGCCTGGAGGAGGAGGAGCCCGGGGAAGTGAGGCCTGGCCCCGGGGGTGGGGGCCAGTGGAGGCGTGCTGCTGAGACGCAGAAGCCCGGGGGTGGGGGGCGCGGGGGCGCTGCTCCGAGAGCGGGACTCGAACCCGGGGCTGGGGCTGTGGGGAGAGCGTGGGTGCACGGCCCAGGGGCTGGCCGGGGCGGGGAGGGGCGAGAACCAGAACCTCCCTCCCCCACCGCCACCCCATTCCAGGAGGGAGCCCAGCCCTGGCGGGGGTGGGGGGAGTGGGTGTGGGTCCTAGGAAGTCCAGAAAGGGGGCCTGATGCGGGGGGAGGAGGAAGAGGAAGAGGAGCAAGAGGAGGAGAGGATCCCCGGGGAGGCAGGGAAGGAAGGAGGGAACCCTGTGGGTTGTGAAGGTCAAGGGGAGGGGAGCAGGCTGCGGTGGGGCGGGGGGCGAAGGCTGAAGCCGCGGAGAGGGAGGGTGGCCGCAGTGGGGACCTTTCCGGGGTGGCCACGGGAATGCAGCTTTTGGGGGAGTGGGCTGGAGAGCGGTCACTGGAGCCCCAGGCCAAACTTTTAGAAGTTGGAACTGGAGGAAAGGAGCCAGGGAGTGGGGCAGGTATATGAGAAGGAGGGGGCCCTGCCCTGGAAACTTTGGGGACCCCCGACTTGGCTTCCCAGGAGGTGCCACATGGGCCGAGGCAGCAGATTGGAAGAAGCAGGGTGCGTGGCAAGTTGAAACTCTAGAGCCCAGACTATGGGGGCTGTGGGTGGGAAGGGTACTTTCTCAGGAGCTCTATCTCTGCCCCTCCAGAAGCTGGGATAGGGGAGCAGGACAAATGGGAAAACTGGTGGGGGAGGGGATTGTGTCTTCCACAGGCAGGGAGAAGGAGTCTTTATCTCTTTAGCCTAGGAAGATCTGGGAAATTTGGTCTCCTTCCCAGAAAAAAGAAAGGAGCTTCCTCTTTTTCAACACTGGAAGGAGTTAGGGCTATAGTGAAGGGAGCCCAGAGACCCACTTTCCGGAATGGAGCAGCCTCTGTGTTTTGTCCAAATAGGGTCCCCACTCAGACATCCAAGAGCAAAGAGTGTGTGTAGAGGCACTGATGACCTACTCAGCCCTTTCTTGATTTGGGAGGAGCCCAAAACAGATAATCTTTCCATTCCCCTCCCAACTCCAGCTTTTAATTTCATATAAAACTTTAGTTCTAGTTAGACACCAAACAGTCCTAGAAAGACCTCCTTCTGCTCTGGCATCAGGCAGGGATAGAAATCCCAGTCCTGGTAAGGGGAGTGCATGTTCATGGAAGAAGTCAGTGTGGTCTCAAAGGCAGCTCCTTCTGTGATGTGGGACTATCCTATCACCCTGCTGGGCTGTGGTCCTCACTTCCAGCGGAATGCTCATGCAGAAAGTGACAAGCGAGGAGACATTGCTGTCCTGGGCTCTGTTTGGAAGGACCCTATGTATTTTAAGGCTGTAAGCTGTCCTCTGGGTCCCCAGTCACACTGATTGCTTGGGATGGTTACACCTTGCTGTTCCTGATGAATTTCCCCCCAGTTTCTCTAAACTTTCCCAGGATGAAGGTAAAGGGAAAAGAAAGGAAGGAAGAAAAAGAAAACTAACTGTGAATCTTAGCCATACAGACTTATAGATCACAGAATATCAGAGCTAGAATGGACTTTGGAGATTATCTAGTTCAACCATTGTATTTTACAGAGAAAACAAAGACTCACAGGTGTCTGTGGTCACTCAGAGTTCTTTCAGGGCCAGATAAGAACACAGACATTTCTTTTGCTTGCCCTGCAGTGAGTGGGGCAGTTGTCAAAGCCCTGGGGACAGATGCTATACATATCCACTTTGTTGTCTCTGAGTATCTTGGGGAGTTCTCTATTCCCAGTTGGGGGTGGGGGTAGCATGTCTCATGCACTAATCCTCATCCTCTCCTTCACCCTGTGGGTGGAAGGCTGAGGTATCACAGTCTAGTGACACATAGTTCCTCTTTGCCCTCCACCCCCTCCCTCTGAGTTCTGTTGAAACAGCAAGGGGAGAATGAGGTTTAAAAAAATTATGTCCCATCTGTAGGAAGTCAGGGCCCTGAGGTTTCCCTGGTGTCCTCTGTGGCTAAGCCTGCACTAGTGAGGAGGCAGGTAAGCGTCCAGGACAGATGAACTCAGCCAGGTCAGATGGGCAATCACCCCTTCCCCCCTCCACTTGGTGCAGAGAAGAAGCTGACTTTAAGCTTGCTGAGACTATTGGGTCTGCTATTCAAGGCTCTCTCTGGGGCAAGAGCTTTCATCACACCCATGTGTTTCCACAGCTAGCAGTGAGATGACATGATAGTGGGAGAGCTCTTCCAGATAGCCAGGGAGGGAATGCCAGCTGGTTGGACCACGAGGAGCAATGAGGACGTGGAAAAGGTCTTTTGCCTTAAGAGTGTTTCTTTCTCAGAGCCCCCCCCCAAGGTAACTGGCCTGGCCCCCCAGGTGTCCCAGTGCTTTCCCCTTCCCCAACTTCCTCTCAGCTTGCCCTTCCTGGGGTTAGCCAGCCCTGTGCTGCAGTACAGGGCACAAAGATGCCCATTTTCCTCACCACATCCTGTCCCCTGGCCACAACACAGCCTGGCCTGTTGCCTTGTTTTCTGCTCTTCTCTTTCCTCTCTCTCCATTCTCTCCCCTTCAGCCATAGTGTCTCTAACATCAGCATTCACCCTGGAGAGACCACAGCAATGCTCTCTCTCTCTCTCTCCATCCCCACTTGCCTGCACCTGGGAATGTCTTTTCACATCTACCATGTGGCACTGAATTAGGCTAATCCACCATCCAGCCTGCCATAAACTTGGGTTAGTGGAGTCTTTTACTCTCTAACTTTTCCTGAAGACTGCTCCTCCTTGACAGGTGTAGAACTGAAGAAAGTTCTCTGTTAGACCATCTTTCCCCTACCTGCAGGCTTGCTGCTCCAGTCTGGAGCGTCCCAGCCTACCTGGGAACCTGCCAAAGAAGAAGATAGCACAGGGGTGTGGAAGCTTCATTTGTTCTCTTCCCAGGGACGTAGGTAACCGTACAGCAGGGCTCCTGTTCTGGGCCAGGCTCCTCTGACTCACTTCTACTTTTAAGGGCCCTGGCTATGATAGGGCTTGGAAATTGGGGGGTAAAGGTGGCCAAGAGAGGAACCTACTTGGTTACCAGGCAGAAAGAGAGGAGCAGGGGTAGCAAGAGTCCAGATGTGTTGATGTTGCTGGAAGAGTCAGGCCAGATTCTAGTTAAAGAATCCTAAGTCCAGGGAATCAGGAAAAACATCAGGAGGTGTTCAAGGCTCCCCTAAATCCTGCTTCCTGCTTCCCAGTGAATTATTTTCTCTTTTGCCGCAGTGATGAGGGGCAAGAGGGAAGGGGGAGTTGGTAGGATGTCAGGAGCAGAAAGAAAATTCAATTTAGATGTATTTCTGTAGCATTTTACATTTTCCAGTGCATCTTCCTCAAAACAGCTCTCTGTACCATCCGTGTTCTACAGATGAGGAATAGTTAAGTGACTTGTCCAAGGTCACACAGGGAATAAGTGTCAGAGTCAGGACTTGAACCAAGGGGCTTCTACCTCCCAAGTCCAGTGTTTCACCCAAGGTCCCATGCTATTGCTTCTCCCCCAGTCACCTGTCCTATCCTTAAAGAAGCTTTGTAGACAATGGCTTGTGTGTAAATGGCTTTGAGGAATTGTTCAAGATGCCAGGTGGTGTTAGAGTGGGAACCAGGAGGCTTGGGTCCTAGGCCCAGCTTGATCCTTGACTTATGTGGATTTATCTCTCTGGGCCTCTATCTTCTATAAAATGGGTCAACCCTCCCCTGTCCCAAGAACTGATTTTCTTTTTCCAGGCCTAGTTCCCAACCATTGGAGTAGGTGACCAGGTTGATAAAAGTCTACTGGTTTATTCATTCATTAATTTATTCATTCATTTATGTATTTATTTGCAGAAGGGACGACAGAGGAAACCCCGGCCACCAGACCCAGGCGAGGGCTCTAGAGACAGAGATAGCTCTGCAGGGCGACGGGGGAATGCCGGCCGGAGGCACGGGCGCTGGAAGGGACGAGTGGATAGCCCTGGGGTGTTGGTGGCCAAGGTGGTGAGAGCCGTGACGGGCAAGCACAGATTTAGCCGCCGGGTCCCCCCCGCCCCACCCCGAGAGCCCCTCAGCCGCCAGAACCTGAGTACTGGGGGTGGAGGAGAGGTGCTACCTGGGGCAGGTGTGGCTGGCGCCTTCCAGCAAGGTGACACAGGCAGCGTGGAGGGTGCTCCCCAGCCCACAGAGAATGGCTTCACCCCTAAGTGTGAAATCACAGGCAAGGATGCCCTGTCTGCCTTGGCCCGGGCCAGCACCAAGCAGTGTCAGCAGGAGATCGCCAACGTGGTGTGTCTGCACCAAGCAGGGAGTCTCATGCCCAAGGTTGTGCCCCGACACTGCCAGCTGTCTGGTGAGGCCCCATAGCATTGGCTAGAACTTCTCTCCCTTCCCCTCACCACTTAATTCTTAATTCGGGATATATGCACACCTAGTTCTTTGATTTGGGAGACAATAAATTCTGTCCCTGTGTGGGAGGTATGGTAGATTCCTAGATGGGGGAACCTATGGGGTGAAATCAGCTGCCCATAAAGGGAGCCCCACCGCCCTTGAAGGGAGGAAGTGGGGAGCACCTTGGCTGAGGTCCCTGTTCTTTGTACCCCTTCTGACCTCCCCCTCCACCCACTGCCCAGGAAAGGTGAGCCCCATGATTCAGTGGGACGAGAGCAGAGTGCAGTTACCACCGGGCAGGCCCTCAGTGCGAATTGCTTACATGCTGGTGGTCCATGGTCGCGCCATCCGCCAACTCAAGCGACTCCTCAAGGCTGTTTACCACGAGCGACACTTTTTCTACATCCATGTAGACAAGGTGCCCTTAGGGGTGGGAGTTGATGGAGGGGAGAGGGATGTGGGAGGTGTGGCCAGCGGGGAGGAGAAACGGGAGCAGGAGGGATGGGGAACCTGGCCGGGGAGAGACCAGGAATCTTTGGCTATTTCTTGCCATTGGGGGACAGAGGGCAAGCCAAGAGGCTTATCGAGCCATGGGCAAGGCTCTCTTCCTTCTTCCTAGCGCTCTAACTACCTGCACCGAGAGGTGGTCGCTCTAGCCCAGCACTATGCCAATGTGCGGGTGACCCCCTGGCGCATGGGCACCATCTGGGGTGGCGCGAGTCTCTTGAAGATGTATCTGCGCAGCATGCAGGACTTGCTGGAGGCACCTGGCTGGACCTGGGACTTCTTCATCAATCTTAGTGCCACTGACTACCCCACCAGGTACTACGGGCTCATCCTCCTTAAGGGAGGGGTAGGCCTGGGGCAGCAGGGTCAGTGCCAGTGACCCTCTCTGCTGGAGATGGCAGGGATTTTTAGAGAACACAGTGGGAGAACATGAGAGGTCTTTGAGGAAGTAAGAGGGATAAAGGTTAATGTGCCTTCTTCCCTGTGAGCCTTCAGGACAAGGGTTCTTAATCTGAGGTCTGTGGCCTTTTAAAATCTTTTCCTTTTTTTCCCAGTATTTTGATAACTGCATTTTAATATGATTGGTTTCCTTTGTACTCCTATGTATTTTAGGCCTTTCCACACATTATTCTAAGAAGGGTTCCCTAGGTTTCATCATGATACAAAAAAGATGAAGAACCCAGCTTTATACCTACATTATACCTACACCTACCAGCAGCTGAAAATAAGGATGTCCTCTCCCTCCCCTCTCTGGCAGGGAGTTACAAGATTACAGATTTAGAGTTGGAAGGAACCATTGTGGCCATCTCATCCAACTCATTTGTAAAATAAGGGGTACAAAGGGGCAGCTTGGTGGTGCACCAGGCCTGGACTCAGGAGGACCTAAGTTCAGATTCGGTCTCAGACACTTACTAGCTGTGTGACCCTGGGCAAGTCACTTAACCCCAATTGCTTCTCCCCTCCCCCTGCCCCAAATAAATAAATACATGAAAAATAAAAATATTGTTCAAAGAAAAAAGAAAAATAAAACAAATGAGGGTTACCTCTCTAGGCTTGCCCAGGGTGATACAAGCAGATAGTAGCAAGGCCAAGATTTGAGTCATGGTCTTCAGACTCCAAATCCAGTGCTTTTTCTACTGCATTTATTAAAGGCATCTCAGCTTGCAACCAATAAATTGACAAAGATTTTTTTTTAATAGTGCAACAAATTGAATTTTCTGTAGAGAAACTGGCATCTGATTATAATTATGTTGGAATGGTGAATTGGCAGGATCTTTTTGGAAATCAATAAGACATTATCCAATTAGGAGTTAAAAAGCTGTTGATGCTTCTTGACCCAGGCCTCCCATTATTGGGACCATGTCTTTAGACTGTTACTGATGGGGGGAAAGACCTATATGTGAACAGTACTCCTGCGAGCATCATTTGTAATAGCAAAAAACTGGAAGCAATCCCACATGTCTAGTAATTGGGAAATGGCTGAACAAATTGTAGTGTACATTGAGAATGTAACTTATATGTAATGATATTATCCCACCACTTAAAATTACAAATGAGAAAAATACAAAGAAATATGAGAAGGCGTGACTTAGAATGAAAATAGGAGATTCCAAAAAACATTTTTATTGTTCTTGTTTGTTCGTGTGCTACTCTTCCATGCCCCCTTTTAGGGTTTTCTTGGCAAAGATCAATGGAGTGATTTGCCATTTCCTTCTCCAACTCATTTTACAGATGAAGAAACTGAGAAAGACAGAATTGAATGACTTGCCCACGGTCACACAGCTAGTAAGTGAGACCAGATTTGAACTTAGGTGTTCCTGACTCCTTTCCAGGCACTCTAACCAGTGAGCCACCTAGCTGCCTCCAAGGCAAACAGAAGTTAAGTGAATTGCCTAGGGCCACACAGCTGGTAGGTGTCTAAGGCCAGATTTGAACTCAGGTCTTCCTGCCTCCAGGCCCAGCACTCTATCCACTGGGACACCTAGTGCCAAATAACATTAGACACACTGATTATGACTGCATAAGTAATAGTCATTAAATAGACAAATAAAATAACATCAATAAAATCTAGGAAATAATATACAGAAGGAAAAGAACTCAGAAAAAGACCCAGAAACAAATGGAATTTTCTACTAAAAATTAATATACACTGTAAAAATTAATATATACACTTTAAAAATAGAGAAGAGAGGCAGCTAGGTGGCACAGTGGATAGAGCACCGGCCCTCAAGTCAGAAGGACCTGAGTTCAAAGCAGGCCTCAGACCAAACACTTGACACTTACTAACTGTGTGACCCTGGGCAAGTCACTTAACCCCAATTGCCTGAAAAATAAATAAATAAAATAAAAATAGAGAAGAAGGGACAAGGAAGCATTTTTGGGGTTGGAGGAAAGATTGAGGGCTGAGACTGCTTTAGGGCCTTTAACCTTCCTCCCTCTTCACTTAAACTCGCCTCTTTCCTGCCCCAGGACCAATGATGAGCTGGTGACATTCCTCTCCAAATACCATGATAAGAACTTCCTCAAGTCTCATGGCCGGGACAACTCAAGGTGAGGATGAGTTATGAGTCAGTATAGGGACTAGAAGAGGCGTGGGCTGCCCAGAGGGATCCCTGTCACGCCCTGTTCTGAAAATAGAGGGATTGAATCCTCGGCCACTAATCCAGGTTTGTAAACTTCCTATTGATTCCAGAGCAGTGAGTGATCCCAGAGCCCATCTGGCAGCTGGTTGGGAGCAGGGGTGGCAAACCTGAAGAGTCCCTTTCCCGCCCCAGATGTGAGGATTTCCTCCCACTCACCCCTGCTCCAGCTCCCACCAACCAGGTGCTGTCTCTGAGTGAGTCCTTCTGTGCCCCTCATCCCCAGGTTCATCAAGAAACAGGGCCTGGACCGGCTCTTTCATGAGTGTGACTCCCACATGTGGCGCCTGGGAGAACGGCAGATCCCAGAGGGCATTGTTGTGGATGGCGGCTCAGACTGGTTTGCCCTGACCCGCAGCTTCGTGGAGTACGTGGTCTATACAGATGACCCGCTTGTGGCCCAGCTGCGCCAGTTCTATACCTACACACTTCTGCCGGCTGAGGTGGGTGATCAATGCTTAAGATAGTCTGGGGGGAAAGGGAGGAGTGGCTGACAGTGGCCAAGAAGGAGGAGGAGAGTGGTCAGTAGGGGATGGGTACCTGGTGAGAGGCCTGGCTTATCTCCCACTCACCTCCCCACAGTCCTTCTTCCACACTGTGCTGGAGAACAGCCCCACCTGCAACACCCTCGTGGACAACAACCTGCGTGTCACCAACTGGAACCGTAAGCTGGGCTGCAAATGTCAGTACAAGCACATCGTGGACTGGTGTGGCTGCTCTCCCAATGACTTCAAGCCCCAGGACTTCCTTCGGCTACAGGTGCCACCCTGGCCCACCTGGGGCAGACTAGCTTTTTGTCCCTGTGTGCCCTTCCAAGTCCTGGCCCGAGGGGACTGGGTACCTTTAATCTCCTGGGCAGAGTGGGGAGGGAGATAGACAGACAGGACACTTGACTGGAGATGGGGCTGGTGCATAAAAATAACCCACTGCCCACACCCCCACCCACTGTGGTTTCATTGCTATAGGGAGCCCCCTGTGAGGGAAAGCCCTCTACCAAAGCGGGTTTGAGTCGGGGGACTTCTCTGTCTTAGGAAGTTACGTAGAGCCAGAAGGTTAAGTGACTTGCCCAGAGTCACATACGTGTCTGAGAGGGGAACTTGAACCCAGATCTTCCTGGGTTCAAAACCAGCTGCTGGTTTATATCCCTGCTGCCTCTCTTATGCCACTTAGGGGCAGCCAGGTGGCACAGTGGAGTCAGAAAGACCTCAATACAAATCCTCTCTCAGACTCTGTTTCCTCATCTACAAAATGGGGGTGATAAAAGCACCTATCAAATAAGGTGATATTTGGAAAATGCTTTACAAACCTTAAAGCACTCTATCAATGTAGGTACTAACTTATTAAGGTTTAAAAAGCACTTTGCTTATCTTATCTCATTTAGCCTCACAGTAACTCTGTACAGTAGCTAATTCCAGTATTTTTATCTTCATCTTAGTAATAATGAGAGGCAGCATGCTGTAGAGCATAGGGAGCTGGGTTCAGGTCCCTTCTCTGACATGTGCTGGCCGGGTGACTTTGGGCACCCTCTCAGAGCCCTCGGCCACCTTCTTAGAGTCTTGAGTTTCAGAGGAGGTGCCGGCCTGCGTTAGTAGAAGGGAGTTTCCTTACCTAGGAGTTCTCTATGTCAGCAAAACCACAGCCCCAACCCTTGTTCTGTATTAGTATCACTAAATTATAGCTGACATTTATATTGTACTTTGGGCAGCTAGGTGGCACAGTGGGTAGAGTGAATAGAGTGCCAGACCTGCTGTCAGGAAGACTCATCTTCCTGACTTCAAATCTTCAAATCTTACTAGCTGTGTGACCCTGGGCAAGTCACTTAACCCTGTTTGAAGATGTTTCTTCATCTGTAAAATGAGCTGGAGAAGGAACTGCTCCAATATCTTTGCCAAGAATACCCCAAATGGGGACTTGGAGAGTCAGATACGACTGAAAAACAACAACATATTGTAGTTTAAAGTTTGCAGAGTTTGTGAAGATTCCATAGATCATCTCAAAACAACCCTGTAGGGGTAGATGTTACAGATATTATAATTTTTCCCACTTTACAGATGAGTAGACTGGGGCAACTAGGTGGTGTAGTGGATAGAGCACTGGCCCTGGATTCAGGAGGACCTGAGTTCAAATCTGGCCTTAGATGCATAACACTCACTAGCTGTGTGAGCCTGGGCAAGTCACTTAATCCCATTGCCTAGCCAAAAACAAAAACAAAAAAACAGATGAGTAGACTGAGGCTCAAGGATATTAAGTGACTCATCCATGGTTATATAACATGTGAGGTTACCCCAGATAGGACCTGAGGCCAGGACATTCCTGACTCCTAAATCTAACATTCTACCATACCAGGCTGCTTCTAGAGACCCATACAAGATCAGAGCTGAAAGGGACACCTTCATTTTACAGATGACAAAATATTTTACAAATGAGGTCCAAAGAAGGGAAACCAATCAATCATTAAGCATTTATTAAGTGCTTACTACATGCCAGACTCAGAGCTAAGCACTGGCAGTACAAAGAAAGGCAGAAACAGACCCTGCTCTCAAGGAGCTTACAGTCTAATGGAAATGACTCGAACAGGGTCAACAACTAATTAGTGTCAATGCTGGAATTAGAACCCACATTCTTCTAAGCTCCCGCCCCGTGCTCTTAGCACCATATACCATGCCATGTACCATGGCACTTTTTGAACCTGACCCTTGCTTGTCCCATATACACATTCAATGTAATTTTAATGGCTGACCTTTGCTCCTCACAGCTGCCTTTGGGAAGCCAAACTGGGAAAATGGGCACATGAGGGAGATGGGATCCCACAGGGAAGTTGGGTATGAAAATGACGCTCTCTCTGAGGTTACCAAGAGACAGTATTGGGTTAGCTAGGTGGCACAGTGGATAGAGCACCAGCCCTGAAGTCAGGAGGACCTGAGTTCAAATCTGGCCTCAGATACAAACACTTGACACTTACTAGCTGTGTGACCCTGGGCAAGTCATTTAACCCCAACTGCCTTAAAAAAAAAAAAAAGAGACAGTATGGAGTTGGAGCTGAAGCTGAGGTCAGGAAGACTCTTCGCACACCTCTCTGGCTGGGTGACTCTGAGCTAGTCACTTTAGGCTTTAGTTTCCCCATTCTTAAAATGAGAGGGTTGGTCCCTTCTAGTTCCAAATCTAGCTATGTTCTTACTTCTGGCTCCTGGTCCTTTGGTGATAGTGATACATGGGATGCAGGTAGAACTCAGAGATCCTTTCCTCCATGAGGGATGTGTGGCCTCTAATCTCTTTGCAATGCCAACAACTGTCTTACATTCTTTATGCTCCAGCAACTCTCCAGACCTACCTTCTTTGCCCGAAAATTTGAGTCAACTGTGAACCAGGAAGTGCTGGAAATCTTGGACTCTCACCTTTATGGTAGTTACCCTCCCAACACACCAGCCCTCAAAGCATACTGGGAAAATGCCCACGACATTGCCGATGGCCTAGGTGGGCTCAGCGACGTCATCCTCACTGCCTACACAGCTTTTTCCCGCCTCGGCCTACGCCATGCTGCTGCCATGGCATCCCCTCCAACTAACCAGCTCTGCAGGTGGGAGATACCGCCCCCCTCCCCTTTGAGGTCAATCATCCCCCCTCTCCCCTGTCTTGATCACCCTGTGTATACACAGTCCCATAGACTTTAGAGGATACAGAAGGATATGGAAACAAGGTCCCTGCTTTTGGGAGTTAGTACCCTCTTTGATGGGGAAGGTGCTGTCCGTTTCTCTAGGGAGCTTTCACTATGATGAGGGACATAATCTGTCCTATATCTCAAGAATTCCAGGTCTGGTGGGGAAGAAATAACACATAAATGGGGGTTTAAAAAAAAAAAAAAAGGAAGAGCGCTTGAAAAAAAAATTGTATAAATGAGAATTTATGCTATAGAGAAGAGGAGTGGATGGTGGAGCTGACATGGGGTGGGACTCTAGGATGGTCCTTTGTGGGACCTCCCATTCCTGGCCTGTTTCTGTTGACCAGTGTCTTCATTTCTCCCTCCCCCTCCCCTACATCCATCATAGGTTTGAGCCTAAGGGCTTCCCATCCAGTGTCCACCTGTATTTCTATGATGACCGTTTCCAGGGCTACTTGTTGACCCAGACAGTGCAACCCATGGCCTCTGGGCCCGAAGAGGCGCTGGAGATGTGGCTGATGCCTCGGGGGGCCCTGAAGCTGACAGAACACAATGGTCAGGCCAACCGGCTGCAGAACCTGGAGGTGGGATGGGGGCCCTCATCCCCTTGCCCTCCCCATGCCCCCATGCCCCTGGTGCAACACTGCAGCCATGGGGGTCCTTTGGTTTAGAGGGGAGTGATGGCCTAATATCCCTCCTCCATACCTCTGGGGTCTAGTCTATGTTAAGTGATGGGTGGAGAGAGAATTCTACTTTTGGATCTCAAAAGCCAAGCTTTGACTCCCTTAGCCAAACATTTATTGAGCACCTGCTATATGCCAAGCACTATGTTAAGTGCTAGGGGTATACAAAGACTGCTTCAAGGAGCTTACATTCTGGTAGGGCAGACAACATCCTATAAGTACATAGGATACATAGACTTTTTTTTTGGTGAGGGTAAGCACTGGAGGCTGAGGTTTCTATTTCTCACTCTGCTTTGTAGTACATTCTCCTCCCTATCATTGCAGAGCAGTAGAAAAGAAAATTCCACAGCAATCATGCACTCAGACCTCCTCATTTTACAGACGTAGAGGAGGGGAAATAGAGTGCCTAAGGTCACAAATGGTTAGTGACACACTGCACCCCTCCCCTTCCGCCCATCCTCCTGCAAAGGACACCACCAGCATCTTCTCCAAATGCTTCCCTCCTCCCAGGTGGGCACAGAGTGGGACCCCAAGGAACGTCTCTTCCGGAACTTTGGGGGACTGTTGGGGCCCCTGGATGAGCCAGTGGCCATGCAGCGTTGGGCCCGTGGCCCCAACCTCACAGCCACCGTGGTTTGGATCGACCCTGCCTTTGTAGTGGCCACCTCGTATGATATCACAGTGGACTCTGAAGCTGAGGTCACTCAGTATAAGCCTCCCCTGAGCCGGCCCCTGCGACCTGGGGCCTGGACTGTCCGCCTGCTGCAGTTCTGGGAACCACTGGGTGAAACCCGCTTCCTGGTGTTGCCTCTGACCTTCAACCGAAAACTACCTCTCAGGAAAGGTAATGAGTGACGCTGGACCCCTGGGGCCCATCGGAATGGGGCTTCCCAGGCATGTGGACCCAGGGGCCACTCAGGCCTCAGCCCTTCAGAGCCCTCCAAAACCATGTTCCACAAAGTGGTCCGTGCCTTTGGGCTACCAGGATGTTGAACCTATTATCCTAAGCAGAAATTAGGATGTGTAATTGGGCAAAGGATATTCTTTTTGCAGGGCCTGATTAAAAGGCCACTTTTCTTGAAATCAGAACTGTCCTGGGGAGATGCAGAATGTCTTGTTGCCGTTAGCATCAGAGTGAGCACATTCTTCCTGGTCCCACCATTCCTGGTGCCCTGCTCACTCTCTCTCTCCCCCCTTCTCCCTGTCCCTCTCTCCTCTCTCCCTTCCCCACCCCCTCTCCCTCACCCCCTTCAATTTTACTGATGAGGAAACTAAGTCCTAAGGAAGTAAAATGATTTGTCCAAGGTCACACAGGTCTTAAGCATCAGAGTGGGGATTTGAACCCAGGGCTTCTGACTGCAGAGCCAGGGTTCTTCCCAATTTTACCATTCTGCCTCCTAGATCACAGTGAGGGAGAAGGAGCAGGGTGATAATGATAACTTCTTGCATTTATGAGAGCACTTTCAGGCTGATCTGTTATCTCATTTTATCCTAAGGTAGATGGAGCTGGAATTATGGTCCCTGTCTTGTGGACAAAGGCCTGGAGGTGCTAAATGATGAGCTTGTGGTCACATAGCAAGTGGCCATCTAGGGGTGAGGTTGGAACTAGAGAATCCTGGTCCCCAGACCAGGGTAGGGAGTCCTTCTTGACCTGACATGAGCCTGTCAAATGGAGTGGGAAATACTGATTCTGTGTCCTTTCTTTACTTCCTCCAGATGATGGGAGCTGGCTGCACGCTGGGCCCCCCCACAATGAGTACATGGAGCAGAGTTTCCAGGGCCTGAGTGGAATCTTGAACCTTCCCCGGCCAGAGCAGGCAGAAGAGGCTTCTCGGAGGCACTCAGGATTGACCGGCCCCGCTCTGGAGGACTGGACAGATAGCACGTTGGGCAGCTTCTGGTCAGTGGCAGGGCTGTGTGCCACAGGCCCGTCCGTCTGTCCCAACCTGGAGCCCTGCAGCCAGACCAGCTGGAGCTCCCTCTCTCCTGACCCCAAGTCAGAGCTCGGTCCTGTCAAAGCTGACGGCCGGCTGAGGTAGCGGGATCACAGGGGGAGCCCGGGGAAAACCCCAGGGCATTGCACCTTAGGAACTCCCTAGAGAAAGAGGCGATTGAGGGACCATCCTCACCCATGGGCAAGAAGCCAGGGTCTAGGCCTGCCGTCCCATCCCCCCTCCATTCCTCTGCTGGAGTGAGCCCCAGGATCGAGCAGCACACCAGTGGGCTACTTGTCGGACAGTTCCAGGCTGGGGGCTGGAGAAGACCAGGGTTCCTTCAGCTACCGAGCCAATGCTGTTCCTGTGCCCTCTTCAGTTTTTCTAGGTTTACTTTCTGTTTTTAAGATGGATTGTGGAGAGGGCCTAAGGACAGAAAAAGCAGAGAGGAGTGATGTGCAATAAAGTCTCAAGCAGCCCCAGGGAGATGTGGTGCCCCTAGGACCTGCGAGAACAAGGGACCAGCTGGGCAGTTCAAAGGGCTACCTGAGATAGCCCGGGTCCCCTGACTGCCTGCCTCAGAAGCCGGGGCCAGTAGAGCTGAGAGCAGAGGATGCCGCTGGTCTTGGCAAAAAAAACAAAAAAACCCATATCTAAAGAACTAGGTGGTAACTGAGTAGAATCATCTGTGGAACTGGCCACTGGACAGGCCAGGAGGCCAGAGAGGAGGTACAGGAGAGGGAGACGGACAGCTCCTGGGTCTCATGATCTGCTCTGTCCCCTTTACATGAAATATGTGCTGCCTCTAGGCACCTAGGGGGCTAACAGATTAGACTTTACAAAGCAGGGAGCATGAGGAGTCCTGGACCCAGAGTGGTGCCTGTGGTGGGAGGGGTGAACCAGAGAAAGCAAAGCAAGAATTCCCCCTCAGTTCATTCCTGAGAAGGAAGCAGAGCAACGGTGGTCCTGGAGTACCATGTAAAATCTGAAATGCAACAGCAGAAATATATCTCTTACATCTCTAACATGGTCCATAGCGTCCTTCCTGGAGGAGGAGGAGCTCCTGCTGAGCAGAGCGGACCCTAGAGCCTTATGGAGCACTCTAGTGGACCCACCGCACCTCCCCATCCTCCAACCCTCCCCTTGGGAGCACCAGGCTCCCTTGCTGTCACTCCCCTCCTCCTATCTTGATTGCCACAGCCTCTGTGCCTCCCATAACCCATGCAAGGCCAGCCCTCCTCTCTCCTTCCCCATCTGGCCTCCCCCTTACACATTACCTTAGGAGCTCCTTCAAGGAACCATGGAGATGTCAGGGGCATCACATCTGGGCCTCAGGGAGAGGGCAATTTATAGCCTGTCTAGGCTTCTTTCCTGAGGGGTGGCCCCTAAATTTCTGAGCCCCTTGAAACTGTCTAGTAGGCTTAGCTGTTTGGGCACAAGGCAGAATTCTGGACAGTTTTGGTGGTCATTCTCATCCCAGGTGGCTCCCTTTCCCTTAATGTCATTTACACTATAGTGTAATTTGTCAGTGGGTTACCTTCCTGTGGGGTATTTGCATTCTATGCCTTATCCCTAATTGTGGGATAAAAATAATAATAACTAGTATTTATGTAGTGCTTTCAGTTTTGCAAAGTGTTTTACAGATGACTCATTTGATACTTACAACATCGCCGGGAGGTAGGTGCTATTATAACCCTCATTTGACAGTTGAGGAAACAGGCTGAGAAGAGGTTAAGTGATTTGCCCAGGGTCACAGTACAAGCGGCAGAATTCAAACTCCCGTTGTCATGACCATTGAACACTCTTATCCACTGCTTCCTATATCATCAAACAGCTAGTGTTTGGCTAGGGATTGGAACTGGGACCCACAGATTCCAAATAACCCTTCTTTCTACTGCACCAAGGTGGGAAGGAAGGCAGAAGAATTTTAAATGAACAGGTTTGGTTTGGTGTGGGGGGTAGGGGAGTTGGAGAGTGAGGGTAACTTGTTGACCATGCTCCACCAGTTCATTTAGTGTAGGATAAAACATGGAACAGAGCAGCAGCGGTCCTGGCAGCCGGAGTTGGTGGGGTGGGAAAGAGCTAGAGAAGAGAACTGAGGTACACAGAGCTGGGAGAGACCTTGGAGGTCATTTAGTCAGACTGTATTTTACAGATATGGAAACTGAGGTCCAAGGAAGTTAGGCGACTTGCCCAAGCCACATAGGTAAGTGCCTCAGAAAACAAGGGTTCCTGGGTAGGTGGGAGAGAAGGGGAGAGAGAAGAAATAATGGGGTCATCCCATCCTCTCCCTAAAAACCAGCAGGCTGGGGCAGGTCCCAGGATGATAGTGGGGATATGGTGAAAACTGATGGAGTCGGATTTGGGAAGGCCTCAGTTCTGCCAGAACCTGGACAAGGTGGGTAGTGAGGGAGGGTTGACAGGCTTAACTGAAGAGACCCAGTTTCCAGGGAGTATTTTCCTGCATGTCCGGGACAGGGCGACCCTAACCAGGAGCTTGCCACACAACCCCCAACTCTTTGGGGATGACCCAGAAAGTGGAAGCCGGGATTCAGACCAAGTGAAGATACCTTTGGATTTAGAGGTAGCTTTGGTGATGTCAGGATGTTATTTTTCTGATTTTAAAGACGGCATGGTGTTTTTAAAAAGAGCCATGGTTTCATTCTAGTTAAAAACAAAACAACAACAAACTTTGGTTACCAGTTCACTTAAATATTTTCCAAGGACCAGCCAAGCTGAGGGGTTAGGGGTGGGGGTGGAGAGCTCACCACCAATAGCCTGATGACTTTGGAATGAGTTCTTTGCCCAGGGCAACCCATGAAACAGCTTGTGTGTGGTATATGTGTGTTTACAAATCCAATGGCAACTAGCGCTTATATATTACATATATTGTTTACTTACAGCAATCCTAGGAGGTGAGTGCTCCCCATTTTATAAATGGGGAAACTGAGGCTGAGAGCAATTTGCTGTGGGTCATTCAGTATACATTTGAGTATGACTCCAAGTCCCTCATTCTATCCATCCACTAGGCCACAGGTAATTCAAATGCAAATATATATGTATGAACAGAGAGAGAGAGCAACCAACTAGCATTTATAAAGTGCCCACTATGTGCTAGGTGCTGGAGATAAGAAGACAGAAACGACACCTGTTCCTGCCCTCCAGGATTTTACAATCTATCTGTAGAAACAGTAGGTCCACATAGAAAATATACATAGAAATAAAGAGTAATTTGAGTAGCGGGTAGAACCAGCAGCTGGGAAGGGCTGTGGGAAGTAGACCAGGGAGGCCCTCATGGCAAGACTGAGCGCAAAATAAGGCTAGGAATTTTCAAGAAGAAAAAATGAAAAGAATGTGTCCAGGGGGTAGGGAAGCTCATTTGAAGGTCCCAGAATGGAAGACGGAATATCATATGTGAGATACAGCAAAAAGGCCACTTTGGAGTAAATGAAAAAGAATGTGTAATAAGCTTGGGAAGGTGGGCCAAGGCCAGATGGTGAAGGGCTTTCTGTGCCAAAAAGAGAGGGTTTTGACATTTGATTCCAAGGGCAAAGGAAGCTGTCAGCTTCCTGAACAGGGATGTGTATTTTAGGAAAATCATTTTCGGGGCAGCTAGGTGGCACAGTGGATAGAGCGCTGGCCCTGGAGTCAGGAGGACCTGAGTTCAAATGTGGCCTCAGACACTTGACACTTAATAGCTGTGTGACCCTGGGCAAGTCACTTAACCCCATTACCTAGCCAAAAAGAAAATCACTTTGGCAGCTGTATAGATTGGTGGGGGAGAATGGAGGCAGAGAGACCAATTAGGCTACTTCAATTAGTCCCAATGAGAGCTAAGACCTGAGTTCTAGTGTGATTTCTAACACACACTAGTTGTGTCTGCCTGGACAAGTCACTTGATTTCTTAGTACCTCCAAGCTAGGTATTGGCGATACAAAGACAAAATGGGACAACCTGGCTAAGCATAATCTGCCTCCTTCCTGCCTTTATACCTTATTCCCTTCCATGTAATCTGTCATCCAGCTTACTCGTTCTTCCTCTCTCAGGACACTTATCCACTGGACTCTGGACATTTTCTGTGGCCGTCCTCATGCCTGGAATTCTCTCTCATCTTTCTCTCCTGGCTTCCTTCAAGTCTCAGCTAAGGTCCCACCTTCTGCAAAAAGCCTTTCTCCATTCTCCTTAGTTTTAGTGCCTTCTGTCTGAGATTACTCCCAGTTTATCCTGTATGTATCTTGTTTGTACATAGTTGTTTGCATGTTGTCCCCCCATGATACTGTGAGCTCCTGGAGAAAAGAGACTGCATTTTAAAACTTTTTGATTTCCACCTTTCTTTGTATCTGTACTATTTAGCACAGTGCCTGGCATACAGTAAGCACTTAATAAATGTTGCTTCACTCAAGGAGGTTACATTCTAACAGGAGAGGAGAGATAACATGCAAAATATATACAAATAAATAGAAGTTAATTTGTTGGAGAAGGCACTAGCTGTGAAGTCTAGATGAGGCTTCAAAAGAGATAAGCACAAAGGAGAGGTCAAGAAAAAGTACTACGAAGAGGGGAAAAAAAAGACCTCCCAGTGCTCCCAAACACTATATATAGAACTAACAGCTGGGAAGGGCTGTGGGAAGACAATGAGCCACAGATGAGCTCCAGATCAGTACCAATGGAGAGAGTCCTCACAATGGGAGTTCCTTATACTGTTGAAATCAAACATCCATACTGATTGCCCATTCCTCCAAAATACATAAGTATGTTTAGGGTTCAGCATGTTTCTGTTTTGTTCCATTTTGTGGTTAATCAAGTCAGTAAGTATTAAGTACCTATTCTATGGAAGCTACATGGCATCACAGTGCACAGAGCATCAGGCCTGGAGTCCAGAGGACTCATCTTGAATTCAAATCTGGCCTGAGATATTAGCTATGTGACCCAGGGTACATCACTCAACGCTGTTTGCCTCAGTTTTCTCATCTGTAAAAGGAACCGGAGAAGGAAATGGCAAACCACTCCAGTATCTCTGCTAAGAAAAACTCCAATGGGGTCACAAAGAGTTGGACGGGACTGAATCAACTGAATATATATACATACATATATGTATATGTGTATATGTATGTATATACTAAGTACTTATGGACATAAACAAAGGCAAAAAACCGCTGTCAGCCTCAGCCCTCAAAGAGCTCACAATCTAGTGGGAGAGATAAGATGAAAACAAACACGATTTATTAGGATAAATTGGAGGGGAAAAGCCGGAAGGGACTGGGAAAGGCTTCTTGCGGAAAGTGGGACTTCACTTGACAAGCATTTGTTACACCGGGGTTCAGATCCCTCTTCTGTTAGTACCTTTGTAACCCTGGGCAAGTCAGTTCACCTCCCTAGGCCTCAGTTTCCCCATCTATAAAATGAGGGATTTGGACTGGATGGATTCTGAAGTCAGCTCCATGAGCCTATATGCCAGAGAATACACTGAGCACTCGGAATACAAGTACAAAGAATGAAACAATCCCTACTTACACAGATAAAATGAGGAAATATTTGTGAAGCGCTTGAAGTGCCTGGTATATGTTTTTCAGTTGTGTCTGACTCTTCATGACCCCAGTTGGGGTTTTCTTGGCAGAAATACTGGAGTGGTTTGCCATTTCCTTTTCCAGCTCATTTGACAGATGAGGAAACTGAGGTAAACAGGGTTAAGTGACTTGCTCAGGGTCACACAGTTAATAATTGCCTGAGGCCAGATCAGAACTCAGGAAGATGAGTCTTCCTGACTTCAGGGCCAGCACTCTATCTACTGTACCACCTACATGCCCTTCCTGGGACATAGTAGATGCTTCATCAATGCTTATTCCCTGTGTTCTAGTGGGGGACACAAACATATAAAATATAAACTGTATAACTATAAATTGAATAAATATAAATATATAAAAAAGGAGTGAAATAGAAGTGCAAGAGAAGGGGCTAATATTCGGAGCAACCAGGAAGGCCTCTGGTTCAGAGGAGAGGCTCCATGGGGCCTTCTAAAGGCTGAACTGTTTCATTCTTCTCCATAGATTCCAAGACCAAAGTAGCAGAAACAAAATAACCAGAGAACTTGGGCTGGAGAAATCTTTTGCTCCTGCCATGCAAATGATTAAGGCTTGAGAGTCTTTCTTGAAGGAGCCCTCTAATAAATCTAAACCGTGTCGGGCTAATGTATCTGTACTGGTTGGTGCAGACAAAAAAAATTTTTTTTTTTAATTTTTTTAATGTGGTAGGAGCTTGGAAATCCTCCCCTGCCTGGCCCCTGCGGTTAGAGACTGAGATCTGAGATCTGGAGGGAAGGCGGGCAAGTGGACGTTGGGGCTTCGATGGCTATACAATAACTCCTTTGGAGAGCCAAAAAAAAAAAAAAAAAAAGCGTGGGGAGAAAGAAAGAAAAGGCCAGGTTGCTGCCCTGAGGAGAGCAGCTTTTGTATTTCTGCCGTGTGTGTTTGGTCTCTGTGGCAACGGGAGACTCATGGCTCCATGGAGTAGCCCCAAGGCCTGGATGCAGCCAGTCAGGACTGGGAGTCTGGTTTCCTGGTCCAATGGGAAGTGCAGATGGGCGGGGAGAAGAGTTTGTCTCACTGCAGGAGGGGATTGGGGGCTGGGATAAGGGGACCAAGATGCAAAGATCCACTCTCAGTTGGAGGGCCAATAGTGCCAGACCCTGGAGCTCCCCAGGGGCCGATGGGAGCCTGAGCCTGAGCCAGGGGGAGGGGAGGCTAAGCCATCCCAGCAGGTTTCCCGTGGGAGCCACGTGCTGCTATAGATGGAGCTACTACCTGGTCCAGAGCCCACCACTGAAGGGGCTGGGCAGCTCCTGGGAGCACTGCCTGTGGCATGATATTGCCCAGGACGAAGAGTGACCAGGCTTCTCCAGATCCTTCTCAATCAGATCAGAGGGCAGGAGTGGCTGGAAACCGAGAGCCCCCGATACAGATAAACTGGGACTGATGCCCGTGTTGGCCCAGCCTGGCCAGTGCTGCTGGCTGCCTCCAGGTTCGCTCTTGGGGTCAATGCCTTCACCCACTATCCCACTGACCTGCATAAAAATTACCCAGCCCCAGATCTCCATGGACACCAACATTCTCGCCATCGCCATTGCCACAGGTGAGTACTAGCTAGGCACCTAGCAGTTTCTCCTGTCCCCCCAGGCAGACTCCTTTGCCCCTAGTCCTGAGAGGTGAACCCAGCCCCTTCACTCCAAGTGGTAGAGTATGGAACAGCTGGGCCACAGGCCCCTATTCCGAGTCACCTTTTGTTCAAAGAACTCTGACAGGATGGGCTGCGGGTGAGGGGTCCCCTTTCTCCTTGGGGTTGGAAGTGGTGGGTGAAAAGATGGAAGGGGCAGAAAGCTAAGTATTACATTTTAGGGCAGATAGTAATAAATTGGAATGTGTCCAAAAGAAGATGGGGAGTGAAATAGAAACTATGTCCCATGATGAAGGTGCTGAGGATGGTTAACCTGGAGGAGAAACTTAGGGAGAATGTGATGGGGATCTTCAAATTGCTATCATTCAGCACAGCAATTAAGATGATTCTGTGGTTCTTTGAACGCAGATTTTGGCTCCATACAAAAACTTTCTCATAACAAAAACTGTTTGATAACGGCATCAGCTGCCTTAGATCATGGATTCAAAATCAGAAGGGATCTTAGAGTTCTAGTCCAAGCCTTTCATTTAAAATGTGAAGAAACCAGGTCCTACAAGAGCTAAGTGACTTGCCTAAGGTCACAGAGCCAGAATTTGAACCCAAGTCTTTTCAATAGGTCTGGTGACGTTTTCATTTCAACACAGTGGTAGTTAGTTCCCCATCCTGAAAATGTTCAAGCTGAGGACAAATGCTGACCCCTCTGAGTATGCTGCAGACAGGATCTTGCTTGTCTAGAAAGCTGAAGTAGATGACCCTTTTCAGTGCTAAGAATTCTATGAAATCTAGAAGTCACTTGGAGTCACGAAGTCCCAGGGTGGAATCTTCTCTCAGACGCTTCTTTTCTGTGTGCCATAGGCAAGTTGCTAAATTGCTAGATCTGAGTTTTCTCATGTTTAAAATGTGGATAACAGCATCTAACTCACAGGGTTGCTGTATGTATAAAATGCCTGGCAAACTTACAGTGCTAAATGTTAGCTATTATTATTAGGGTCCCCTAGGGTACCTACATCAGGTCTTTGGGTTTACCTGAAAGGACTCCTAGGTTCTCAGCTTTACCACTGATCCTTGGGGTGGCCCTGGGACAAGTTCCTCCTCAGCTTCTTTGTAAAGTGGAATGATATCACCAGTATGCACACATCTCTCCCAGGGCTGACAGGGGAAGGGGTATGTCATCATCTCAGAACTAGAAGGAATCAGAGTCCCACCCCCTAACTGACCACATAGTTATCCCAAACTTCCCTGCTCTCAGAAGCAAGGAGTCATATACGATGCATGTTTCCAACGTCAATTATGTAATCAGAAACAGGAAGCCCAGAGCTTGTCCCTTTTCTGCCTCAGTTTCCATAGTAGAAACAGGATATTCCCTCAGCCAAGCCATGCCACCAAAGACATGTGGGGGAGACTCCCTTCTTAGGGGGGACAGGGAAGGGTGGGTCTGAGGTTGACTGATGCTGGCTACTCCCCACAGCCCTTGGGGGAAGAGCTAGGAAGGTTCAGGAGGCTGGGCCCCTGACTGTGCCTTGGTGTGGTGGTGGGTAGTGTCATCCTTCGTGTTTGTCCTGGCCATCTTGCTGCTGCTGCTCTACCAGCGGGAACCCCGGTGCTGCCAGTTCCTCTGCTCCTGCCGCTTCTTCCAGGGTCCTAGCCAGTGTGTGAGTACTTCCCCTCCCTTTCCCAGGCCTGCCTCTGCCTCCTTGCCATGACATCCCTGCACCATGCATGTACACGGTAGACATTCTTGGGGGCCAGCGCTTTCTTTTCAGAGAAGCAAAGGACATTTTCCAGTCCTGCCTCCAACGAACACCCCTTCTTTCCAGAGCTTTTAGCGTAGACTCTCTAAGGCTGGGGCTGCATAGCCCCCAAGTCAGTAACAGTGGGTTGGGGAAGGGTTAACTGCCTCTGAGCCCTCCCCCACTCCCATCATTGTCCAGAGCTAAGCCAAAGAGCCCTTCTCAGTGAAGACAATGCTTTTTCCCACTCTCTTAGCAACAGGGCACTCTCACTTTCTCTAGCTTGGAGGGGAAAACCCAGGGTCCCCTACTTCAGAAGCAGACAAAGGATGGGGAAAATCAGAATGGAGGAAGCTAAGGAGACAGTCCTTAGGGATACAGACACCATAAGCATTAGCAGATTGTCCAAACTTCTGTACCACAGCTTCCCCTAGATTCTGACCTGGCAAGACAGAGGGGATTATTTCTCTAAAGGGCCAGCAGGGCGTGAAGGAACGGAAACTTTCTCCAGCCAAGTGGGTTTTAGAAAAGCTAAGGATCTGAGGTTTCGACTTAGTAGAATGGGTTGGGGGTGAGGGGAGGAAAGAAATGTGAAGCTCCCAAGAAGGACCTGGGCCTCTGTCCAGGAGTCAGGCAGGTGCTTACTGACCTGGGGAACCTGGAGCTGGGTGAGGGTGAGGTGGCTCACCTTTGGTCCTTCTCCCCTAGGACTGTCCCCCTCCCTACTTTAGCAATAACCAGGACTTGGTGGGACCCCCAGCCAGATCCCAGCCATCAGAGAGGATGAGAACTAGAATGCAGGTGAGTTGCTTCTGTTCCAAATGAGAGAATGAAGGTGAGACTTTTGTGTAGAGAAATCAGAACAAAGAACTCAAAATTGGAGGATAGAAGAAGGGAATGGGCTGTGAGAAACTGGAAATATTTGTGGGGGAAAGAGGATCCTTAGATAGATCAAAAGGAATGGAAACTTGGGACACAAAACCCAAGGACAATGCTCCGGAAAGGAATCCACACAATGGCTAATGGGTATGCTTGCTCTGTCCCCTTCCTGGAAAGAGAGGGTCACTAGATATTGTTGATTACAGGGGCATTTCCAGAGTGATGAAATATTCTGCGTGGGACTGCCCAACAACTACCAGCTACCCCCCTGGCGCCCCCCACATCTTCCCAGCTATGAGAGTGTGCGAAAGAAGGACCGGCAGCAACAGATCCACCGGCTGATTGCACATCGTTTTGGACTATGGGCCTGCAGAGAGGTGCTCCTGTCTTAACAATCACTTCTTTAGGGTTTCCAAGAAGTCACCCCTAACCCTCAACCAGTCCCTCTTCACCCTCAGCTTACAAAGCTCCCTCATTTGAGTCACTGTTGGAGGACACCCACAACTCAACTATATCACTGGGGTAGAGGAGGATGGGTTTTCTTCCACTGAGGGAAGGACAACCCCGAGAAACAGGCTTCTGCAGAGAGGGGTTGCTTTGGGAGACAATGGCTCAAACCCAACTTGCTTCTACAAAGGGCCAGAACTTCTTCCAGGGGGAAAAGGAAGCTGAATGGAGAGGCCAGGGGGTGGGAGAAGTGCAGAAACCAGAGTTTGGGGAAGCTTCCCCCTCTCTACTTTTTAACAGAGCTGACATCTCTCTTCTTTCACCAGCTTCCACCAACCTATGAGGAATCCCTGGGACCGCTCCCCGAGGTGCCCCCCAGTTCTGGTTCTGCCCACCCATTCCAGAGAACAACTGCCTTCCCTACTCAGAGGAACACTGCAGTGTAGGAGCATGCAAGCAGCCTCCTCCTGGCCACCTCCTTATCCCAGACCAACCCAGGCAGCAGAGGTGGTACCAAGCTGCCACTAGAGGGAGGCCTCTGCCAGACTCCAATTGTGCTAGATGCCCTTTGGTGCCTTCAAGACAGTGCTATGGGAGGATCTCACTGATAACACATCTTTGGGGACTGCCCTCTGTGGCCATCCCACCCTCCCTGAAATTTCTGGTCCTCTATCCTAGAAAGCTCCCTCCATTGTTTGCAAGGAAGTGATGGGCCTACATTACTGCCCATAAGCACAAAGGGTAAAGTGAATTACAGAGAGGGGAGTCTTATTCAAGGCCCACAGAAAAAATAAGAAAACGATTTATAACTGGATCTCGGGAGTCCTAGCCTTTCCTGTTCCAGCTTCCTGGGGCTTCTGGAATGAACAGAAATGAAATCTTTATTCTGGTCTTAGAAAGAACTCTTGGTCTCTTCAGGCCTCTCTGCTCGGAAATAGCCAATCAAAGAGGGACCACAGGCACCAGGTAAATCACTGCACATGCCACACCAGACAGAGGCTGGCAGGGGGACGTCTCTTCTCCCACACAGAGTACAGCAAATGCTACAGACGACTGGAATGGGTAAACGCACTTTCTATCCTGACCCTCAATTTTAATGAACCTGGGCCTAAGCTACGAAGCAGCTTTTAACCCTGTTTGAATTCCATTTCCATACGATATATTCTCAAAGCCAAGTTTCCTTACTGTCGTTTACAGTATTAGCGACAAAGGTGTGAAAGGAATGTGTCTGAAACACTCACTGTGACAGCTTTGGGTGTTATCTAGTTCACCAAAATCAACCCAAAGGTCCAGCATTCCCTTGGAAGCCAAAAGCTCAGTACTTGCTGATTTACAGTCAGACTTTTCTCTGCTTCTTCTACTATAAACTCTTCCAGGTCATAACAGAGGAAAAAATGAAAAGAAAAGAGGGCATCTCTAGGGTTCCACTGTGTGAAGTTGGGGTACATTAAGGAACTCAACAAATGTCATCACTCACCACTTAAGAATTAAAGTCCTCTGTCCATCCAGCCCTGCCCAAAATTATTTTCCAAATGACATAAACTCATGGTTTGAACTAATTTTATTTTGGACCTCAGGTATGTCCACCTCATTACCCCTTAGGTGGTTGCTTCACATAGTCTCTTCTGTGTTCACGGTCAACCAAACCAACTCTCTCAGGGAGACCTGCCTCCACCCTGATTCCTTGGCATCTGGCTCAATCTTCTGGCACTCTGGCTCTAGTTTTCAACCAATGACATGGCCAGGAGGCTTAGAGCATAGCCACCAATTTGAAGGTGCCCACAGGCTTGGCAGGGACAACATGGACAAAAGTCTTGTAGAGCACAGCACCCTTGGGCAGCTGGGTGACCAAGTCTACACCTTCAGGACTGCTGGGATTGGGCACATATACCTCCTTTGTGTAGCGGACAATGCCCTCTTCCAGGGCATATAGACACTTGTTCTTACCCAGTCCTACCTGGAACACACAAAAATCTTATCAGCTGGTTAGCTAGGATGTCCCTGAACAAATGAAAAAGTGCTGGGGCTTCAGGGAATGCCTTCCATAATGATCCTATTCACTGGAAGCAGCCTCTAGGATGAGGATAGGGAAAGACTAAAGAGTTAGGCAGTTCAACCTTGGGTTCTTTTTTCTAAACTTTTTTGCCTAAACTTCTTTGCCTTCTACTGCCTTGCCATTGATTCTGTGATGGAGAGGGCAAGGACGCCTCCAATGGTGTGACAGACGCACCAAGAGCTGGGTTTGTAAAGTGTGTTCAATTCCCTTGGGAAATAAAAGGTTCCAAGGAGCTGCTAACTCTCAAAAGACACCCAGTTTCTCCTCCAACAATATCTCTGCCTGAGCCTAGGACAGCCTAGCTCATACTTTGGGATGGACAGGAAAACTAATTAATCAGGGGTAAACTCTGAACTCAAGTAGGGAAAGCTGGTCCAATGAACAAAAGGAGAGGGCCAAAGGGCAACTCACATGAGCTCCTGGATGCCAGCGGAACTGGCGCTGAGTCCCAATGATGTTGCCAGCATGAACATATTGACCTAAAACAGAGAGATTTCAGTAGGGGCTTCTGAAATACTGACCCAGCCAGGAGGAATGGTTACAAGGGGCATCAATTCAGACTTCTAAGGAACAATGATGAATCCTTATAGAATGGCCCAAATGCTTTAAACCAGCTTCTGAACCTGCCACTGAAGACTCCTGCCACACTGTGATATTTATGTACGATGGAAAGAAAGTGAAGTGACTTGAGATCGCTCCCGTGGGGAATCCCTTTCTCCAATCATCTGGCACTGACTCCCATACCTTGCCCAAATTTTCTTGGCTCTTTAACTCAGAGGGAGGCTCCAAAGAGAACCCTCATGTGCTAGGCTCATAGCACAAAGCATGGGGCTTCCACCATTCCCCTTCAGAAAAGCAAGAGGATGGGTAGAGAGGGGACAACCCTAAAATACACACTTACCCTCCAATTTCTTGATGCCATAGTGTTTGCCTGGTGACTTCCCACCAAGGTTTTTTGAGCTACCTCCAGTCTTCTTGGATGCGTATCTAACAGTGGCAGCCATGACCTGAGGGGGAGACAGCCCTGCACTAACTGTAGAGAGATGACAAGAAATGTTATTCAGGGGGAGAGCAACCCAGACAGATCAACTGTCCCTTGAGAAACCACGTCTCAAAGAAGGCATTTACAGTGCTAAGAAGGAGCAGTAGGTGGAGAGGAGGTCTGTGTTAGGAGGCTCAGAAATGGCACCAAACGTGTTAGTTTTCAGGGAGTGTCCTGCAGCCCTTGGCCTGTTCTGGACAGTAGACAACCCATTCCTTGTATTGTCTGGGGGCATAAACACTGGAGGGAGTCTATAAACAGAAGGGAAAAGAAAATAAACACCCTGTGCCCTGGATACATCCAGCCCTGTCAAGGTAGGACACAGACTATTTGAGAATGAGGGAAGAGAGGCAACAGTGCCAATAGGACACCCACAGAGCTACCCACTTTGGCTCCACTGCACCATCCATCTAGAAAACCCTACAACAAAAAACAAATCAACTGCTTTGAAGCTAAAAAGTGTAGTCTGCTCTAAAGAGCCATCATCTCTAACTCTTGGCTATTTCAGACTGCTAGATCCTTGGGCCCTTTCTTCTCCCAATATCTAATATAGGAATTCCTAATCTTTTTGGAATAGCAACACTCTACTTATTAGCCTGACTTTGTGACTCTCCCCCCTCCCATCCCAAATGCTGGTATTTATTTTTAAAATAAAAGTGAGGGGGCAGCTGGGTGGCACAATGGATAGAGCACCAGCCCTGGAGTCAGGAGGACCTGAGTTCAAATCCAGCCTCAGATGCATAACACTTACTAGCTGTGTGACTCTGAGCAAGTCACAACCCCAACTGCCTCACCAAAATAAATAAATAAATAAAAGTCAATTAAAGGTAATTTGTTTTACAAATTTTGCAACACCCTGGATGAAGACCCTTGAGTGTCACAAACTCAAGGTTGGTAATCATTACCTCAGGAATCCGAGAGACAGTTACTGATTATTTAGAAACATATATAGTCTTTTTTTTCCTCAATTACACGTAAAAACAACTTTTAGCTTTCATTTTTTAAAATTTGAGTTCCAAATTCCCTCCCTTCTCTCCTCCTTGAGAAGGCAAGCAAATTGCTATAAATTATACATGTACAGTCATGTAAAACCTATTTCCATATTAGCCAAAACATATGTAGTCTTCAAGGGTCATTTAGAAACTGCAGATAGAAGATCTGGGAACCCTTTGGGTGCCCACGTCTTTTGTAGGGACCTCTGTCTAGGATCTCAAATAACATCAAGTTGTCTATGATAAAAAAGAATTAGAAGAGGGCACCTGGTCCAGTTTGCAGCCATCAGGCTGGTCTAACCCCAAGCTCTCCCGGACAAAGTATGTCTTGGTATAAAGCATATGAGTGTTATAGAACAGAAAACCCTTGCCTCATCGTGAGTAGAACATAGCTTAAGAAGTGAAGTCTACCTTGAAGCTGTGCTTCTTAACCTTCTTTTGTCATGGACTCCCTCTGGCAGTCTAGTGAAGTTTCTAAGGTTCCTTCTAGTACTGGTTCTATGATCCTGTGACCTCTCTGGACCTGGTTTCCTCATCTCTAAGATAAAGGGTTGGGTTATATGGCTCTAAGGCTCTTTTCTAGATCTATGCTCCTATGAATGTCTCTAGAACAAGGGTTCTTAACCTTTTTGCTATCAAGGACTCGTTTGGCAGTCTATGGATCCCTTTGAAGAATGTTTTTAAGTAGAGAAAAATACATTATTACAAAAGAAACCAATGCTATTGAAATATAGTAATCGAAATTTTTTTTGGACCTCTAATTGTGAACTCCTGCCTTAGAGGTTATCTAATACAACCTCTTGATTCTACAATGGAAGAAAATACCTAAAGAACTTAAGTGATATACCCAAGGTCATTCAGGCAGCTAAGCCAAGGTTTAAACCCAAGGTTCTGTTTCTAATTTCAGTGCTGTTTCCAAAGACAGAGGTACACAGTATGTAACCAGGACCCATGAGGCCACAGGGATAAACAAGCTATTTACCAGGAAGGGGTGAAAGGCAGAGATGCCACAGTGAGGCATCAAGAGAGAGAATTCCATCTAGGTAGGACTGTGGAAACTTAAGAGCTAGAAAGGACCTTTGTCTAATCTAAACTTCTACCCTTGTGTAGTAATGCCTTTTATAAAACCCATCTCACTAAGCCTTTGCTTGAATACGTCTTGGGACAGTGAATTCTTTACTTCACAAAAGTTTGTTATTGACTGCTCCACTTGTAAGAAAGCTCTAGTTTTAAAGTTCTATGAGAAAATTCTTCTTTATGTTATGTTATACTATGATAACTCAACCTGCCTCCCTATAAGGTCTATCCTTTAGTCTTTGTTCTGCTTTCTAAAACTATAAACTACTTTGCCTGGTATTCAGGATACTCTACAATCTGGGGGTGGCCTGTCTATCTTTATCATTTAAATACTAAGGGTCACAAACTTTATGGTATAGCAAAACATCACTACTCTCTATCTGTCCCCCACCCATACAAACCGTATATATCCCCAACTTCGTATCTTCCTTCAGCTGTTTCTTATGCCTATAATGTTCCTTAACTTAGGGAAATGAGGTAATGGGTAGCTGTTCTATGGAATCAGGAAGAGACCTGGACTCAAGTTCTGAGGTTTATTGACTGTATGACCCTGGGCATGTCACTTAACCTCTAGGTGTTATAAATTGCAGAGGAGATGCCAATATGCATTGGTATGGTTGGCTGTTGTCCTTCATTCAAGCAGAAAACCAAAATGACATCACTATACTTAAGTCAAGTTACAACGCACCTGACTTTGACTAATCAAACCAACAGGAGCTCAGAATGCTCTACCACAGGCACAAATACTCCATCTGAACATTCATGGTAAATTCTCTAAATTTGCTCATCCTGGGTTTCTCATGGGTCCTGGTATAGGAAGACCCTTACTGGGAACTCCCTTTATGGAGATTTCATTAAAAAAAAATTCCAAACCTACAAAATCTATCTTTTGAAGCCTAAATCACGTAATATCTCCTCTTATTTCTCTCTGTGAATCCCAATTGGATTGCACTCTGGATTTATTACCTAGTACTATTTGCTGTTCCTTTTGGTAACTAGAGAACCCATTAAGTATTGAGACATAATTATCTGTGCTTTATCCAAACTTTATATCTTACTCAGCATTTATCTTAGTATATGCAAAGCACTGTGCTCCACTCTGGGGATACAAAAACAAAAAAGACGGCCCATGTTCTGTCCAGCACAGTACTCTGCACACAGTACGTGCTTAATAAAACTCTGTGATTCTTCCCACCCCTAAGTCTTCTCTTGGACCAAATACCATCAGTTCTTTCAGCTGATCCTGGTATGGCAATATCTCCACTATCCTCACCCTCCCTGTGGACATACTGCACTCTCAGTGTTCTTCCTAAACGTGGAACTGCACAAAACACTCCACACGTGCCCCCGCAACTGCACAACACAGCAGTACTCAAGAGCTCACCCCGTTGGGAAATCAGGAAAGCAACCCCCAAACCCCCTTGCAGCGCAAGCCCCGCCCCCAGTATCAGAAAGGAGGTGGGAAGGGAGGGTCACGTGGGCAGCAGTTTCCCACCCCGGTTGGTCACGTGGTCTACGAACGCGCCCTTCCCAAGGTAGGGAGCGTGACGGGGCCTACACTGATCCCGGCTTCCTCTACCCCTGCCGCGGCTCTCACGGGGCATGACGTCCACAGTAACCCCGTCCTCCCCTTCCCCAGAGGGAGAGCCAAAGCCCGTTACCCGCTCCCCGCGCCATGACGGGGCCCATTTTCTGCGCCAGCAAGGATAGCAGCGCCATCGCTGCCATGGCTACCCTCGGTTCGCCGCCGGCCCCCAAAAGCTTCCGCTTCCGGTAGCGCTGTTTCCGGGTCTCGCGGTATTTCGGCACGTTTGAAGCGGCGGCGCGCGCACGAAACTCAGGAGAGACGCCGCAGGTGAGCGGAGAGGTCGGTGCTGCTGCGCTGTCCCCGCACTCCCAAGCCCCGCTACCCGCAGGCCTGCCAGCTGCACTCGGGGCGGCCGGAGCGAGCGGCACTGGCACTGGGGTCCGCGCCGTGGGGGAAGAAAGCGAGAGGGGCCTTAGAGACCGGCAAAACAAGCATTTGTGAGGCGCCTCCTACGTGCCCGGCATCAGCCTCAGAGCCGGGGCCCCAAGTAGAAGGAATGAAACAATCCCTGCTCACAAAGAGCTTACATTTGAACGGAGGAGATGGCAAGAACGTTATGGATACATACAGCATAAATATATACAGTTCTTAAATACGTATTTGATAGACTTAATTAGCGATACAAAATAATTAAGTAGCCGGTAGTTTAGAAGGGAGGGCACTAGTGGTTGGGTGGGAGTCTTGCAAAGATGGTGCTCGAACTTTTTTTATATTCATCTGAATTTATAGAATAAACTCAAGGAAGAAAAGTATAGTATGATGAATACTGGAAAATGAACTTAGTTTCAAAAGTAAGTTATAACTCAAAACTATTTCTTGTTCATCAACTCTAAACCTTGGGAGTTTGCTAATGATTGTCAAGCCTGTGAAGATATGAGCATAAAAATCATAGATTTAGAAATTGAAAGACACTAAAAGTTGTCTACTCTAATGTCCTCGTTTTAGGTGAGAAAATGTAGGCCAACAAGGTAAAGAGACAATAAATAATTAGGCATACACATGAATGTATGCCTAGGAATACCTCAATATGACATCAGCCTTGCCGTGGTGGGGCTGACTGGAACCTTTAGCCCACCAGAAATGGGGGCAGCTTTCCCAGACTAAAGGATCTTCTCTTTGCTATAATGAATGTTACTGTTATGCTGACTTCTTTCAATCTTCTTTCACATCCCTTCTGCTGCTTCAACAGGTTTATGGCATAGGAAGAAGTAGGTATGACTAGTCACATCTGTAGTCAGCCTGTAGTCTGGGGCCATTCCCAGTGGTATTTTAGGCTGTCCTCACAGGCGTGTTCCATTGACACTTGGCAGTATCTTGAGATCAGGTGGCCTTTCTGTTCCCTTCCTTCCTGCTCCGGGGAGGTTCCTAATCTTCCTCAGGGAATACTGTCACTTGCTGCAGGGGGAAAATTCTCTGGCCACTTTGTTTTGCATGCTGTCTAGCCATGGATCTATCTTTCTTGGATCTATCTTGACTCCCAGAAGCACTTGAACTACATTTTAAAGGAAGGACTCTGAGATACAGGTAAAGAGGGCTTCCAGACAAGGGAGAGGGCCAAGGCAAAGGCACGGAGTCGGGAGATGAAGTGGCATGAGTTAGAAACAGAGAGAATGCTAGTTTTCTGGAATGTAGACTGGAAGGAGAAGGAGCAATGTCATAAGAATTGTCATAGATATGGGCAGAGTAGGAAGGAAGCAAGATCGGAAGATAGCTTTAGAGAGAAAAGCACTAGGAGCTAGAGGGGGCACTGGCAGGAGTGCATCATTATATGCCTTGATTCACTTTCTGAGTAGGGTGTTCCTCAGAGAAGGACTAGTTCTTGGTGGAGCTGTAACTAGAACTCGTGTGTTATAATTCAGTATCCAGTATTCCCTTTCCACTGGAAATCGATTTGCTTCCTGAGAAGAGCACTGGGCAACAAGTAAGAAGCAGCCTGACCTTAGTGGGCAGAGTACTGGACTTAGTTGGAGTTGGGATGATGAGTATTCAAATCCTGTCTCAGACACTTAATTGCTGTGAGACCCTGGGCCAGTCACTTTTCTCCTTCTGTAAATTGAAAGAGTTTTGGTTTAATGGCCAGCATCTCGTAGGCTGAGAACTGGAAGGGACCGTAAAGATCACCTACTCCAAAGGCTGTCATTTAACAAATCGGGGGAAAAACCAAACAAATGAGGAAACAGGTTCAGTGACTTGCTCAAGATTGTACTGGGAATAAATAACCAAACTGGGACTCGAAGCAGAGTCTTTGCACAATGCCAGCCTAACTTCCTGCCTATCCTGTTTGATGTCTGCTCCTGCCTTGTTCCTCCTGATGCCTTCGAGCATAAAGTCACAGGATTTTTTTAAAAGTCGTGTTAATGCTTTTTAAATATTGGTCACTTCTTAATAACTATGTAATGTAATTACATTTAAGCAAAACAGATCAACACTAAGCCAAAAATCATGGGACTTAAAATTATTTTTTAAAAAGATTTAAAAGAACAAAAGAGTCCTTATAACTAACTTCATTTTACGAAGGAAGAGAGTCTATAGAGATAAAGTGACTTACCCAAAGTGATAGAAACAGCAACACAGACAAAATTCAAACTCAAATCTGGTTCAGTGCTCTTTACACTATACTATGTTCATTCATTCTTTAAGGCTTCCACTTTGACCTTCTCCTGATGCCACTAGTTCCCCAAGACAGAAAAAAGTCTACATTGGACAGGTGAGGAAAGTGTTGTGTTAAGTACAAAGTTGTGTGTGGGTCCTGACTCACAGGTGAATGAGTAGGACATGACATTCTGTGTCTCACTCACACTGGTCTCTTTGCAGGGAATATAGCTTGACAGCCTTTTAATGATGGGTCCGAAGAAGCTACCACTGGATACAAGTGAGAGTGACTCTGAGGAGCTGCCAACATTTACATTTCTGAAACAGAAGCCATCTTTGACAAAGAGCGGCCAAGTTGTGGTCCACAGCTCAGATGCGGAGTGTTCCTCTTCTTCTCCTGTTGCTCTCCAAGAGGCCGCCAGAACTGTTTCCCCAGAAGAGCCAGTTACAGTGCTAAGCAGTGAGAGTGAAGAGGGAGAGGAGCTTATTCCGCTGGTGCAGAGACTTCAGTGCAGAACAACATATAGTTTTTCTAAAGCACAAGAATCAAGTCATCAGGACTCAAGCTCCCAAACTAAATGTGCTTTGAGCCATCAGCACAATGAAGGAACAGCAGAAGAATGGAAAGAACAGCCCTTTCCAAAGACCCTTGTTCTCTCTAATTCTTCCTCAGTTAAAGAGGTTTCAAAGAATGACGGGGACGTTGTTGAAGAAGAACCACACAATTATCTTCCAGCCTACTCATCTGTCTTCCCAGTCCAGATTAGAAATGTGTCAGCCACGGAGAAAAGTTCAGTGCTCTCTCCTTCCCCAAAGAGAACTAAGTACGCTCAGAAGGAGAGGGGGAAAGGCTGGCAGGGTCCCCTCCAGACCCAAAGGAAACAGAAAGAAAGTGAGCAGAGACAGCAAGAGAGAGAAAGGAAGAAAGCCCTGGCCAACATGCTAAAAGCACAGAAGCCAGAGGCATGTCTGAAGCACATCACAGTTGTATTAGATCCAGGTACTTTTGCCTTTTCTTAGCTTCATGCTGAATTGCCCACTCTCTTGATCCTATCTTGACAGTGCACTTTGTAATTTGCTGCAGCTCTCTTACAGCTTGATGGTGGTGGTCAGATCCTCAGTGCTCTGCAAGCTATGGAGTGTCACTGTGCGATTGAGGCACAGACCATTCCATGTAGCATCACTTGGAAGAGGAGAGCCAGCCTGTCTCAGGTAAAGGCCTTTCCACAGTTTTTGTAGCTTCCCAGAGTCCCTTGTCATAGATAACTCTCTGTCTTTCAAGTTAGTCTATCACATTTCTCCAGTTTGGGGTCCATCAGGCCTCCTGTTCCCTCTTTTCCTTCCTTTGCTCATTCAGAGAGGTACGGTAGACAGAGAGCTGGCCCATCAGGTAGACCTCATCTCACCTCTGACACTGCCTAGGTGACCTAGGGCAAGTCACTTAACCTCTTAATTAATTTCTCAGTTACCCTGTCAATCTTCTAAGAATGTAATTTAAAGATGAGTTGCTGGTCTACTTTGGTGAAAGTTGTTTGCTGGCCAGATTTGCCTATACTAATGAAATCACAGTTCCAGCCTCTTCAGTAGATGAATCAGTAAGCATTAATCAAGTGCCTACTGTGTGCCAGGCAGTGTATTAAGCAATGGGGATACAAAAGAGTCAAAAGACAGTCTCTGCCCTCAAGGAGCTTACAATCTAATGGGGAAGACAGCATGCAAACAAGTATATACAAAGCAAGCTATATACAGGATAAATAGGAAATAATCAAAAAAAGGGAAAGCAGTGGAATAAAGAGAGGTTAGGGAAGGCTTGCTGTAGAAAATGGGATTTTAGTTGAGAGTTAAAGGAAGTCAGAGAAGTCAGGAAAGGAGGAGGGAGGCATCTATTGTAGATGGCTGTTTTGAAGAATTTAGCTACAAAGGGCAAAAGAGATATAGGACAATAGCAGGGATCAAAGGATCAAGAGGATTTTTTTTTTAGGATGGGAGAGATATGGGCATGTTTGTAGGCAGAAGAGAATAAGCCAGTAGAGAAGACAGAGAGATTGAAAACAAATGAAAGGGGGAGGAGGGGAGATGACAGACTGGTATATATTTTGGAGAAGACAGGATGTAATGGGAGTGCTTGAACAAGTAGAATGGTTAGCCTTGGTAAGGAGTAAGGCCACTTCATCAGGAGAGAGTCTCAGAAGGCATATGAATGATAGGAGATGAGGAAGAAGGGAGAAGAGGGAGCTCATAGCTAATGGCCTTTTTTCTGTAGAATATGAGGCAAGGTTCTCAGCTGATAGTAGAGGAAAGGGAAGCCATGGGAGGTTTGAGAGATGAAAAGGTTTAGAAGAGTCAATGAGGGAGTTGTAGAAGGATTGCCTAGCAGCAGTGAGGGCCCAGTTCAGACTGTGTAACATAAATTTGTAGTGGACCTAGTCAGAACAGTTGTGTGATTTTCTCCACCTTCATTCAGCAACATGTGTATAGGTGCAAAGGCAAGGAATGGTAGAAGTTATCCAAGGAAGAAGCTGGGCAGGGCATAGTCAGAGGTAGGACAGGGAAGCTAGAGATTTAAGAGAGGACAGTAAAGGGTTGAATGGGTTCATCAAGGAGTGAAGATGGGGGAAAGAGGAGGGAGGGGCTAGTGCTGGGGAGATGGCCTGGAAGAGAACTGAGGAATCAAGGGATTAAGAGTCACACTGTGGGTGAATAGTAGGGTTATGTAAGGGAAGACAGAGGGAGAAGTGAAAAGTCAGTAGATTTGGTCAGATAGGGGGATTTCAGAATGCTTGAACATTGAGGTGGTACATTTGTGGGTGATGGCAAGATGAAGAGTATGGCCATCTTTTTGTGTGACTAAATTGGGAGAAGTAGCTCAGGTGAATAGGTTGAGGAACTGAGTGTTAGGATATTGGAAGGAGAATCAGTATGTATGTTGAAGTCCCCTAGTATGAGGGCAGGAGTTGGGGAGGAGAGAGAATTTATAAGCTAGGTTTTAAACTCATTGACAAAGGAAGGGGAGTGACCTGCAGGGTCTCTAGACAAGAACTATCAGCATTTTGATTGGATAGCATATATGAATAGCTTGAACCTCAAAGAAAGAGAGATTACTGAATGACGGAGGAAGGGGAAGAAATTAGAAGTGACGATGGAGAGTAAATATTCCACTTCCCCCATCTTGACCAGCACTGAGGAGAATGAGTGACGGATGCCCAGGGAGGCTGTGTCTTCTGGGGGGGAGCCAAGTTTCAATAAAAACTAGTAGATGGAAGGAGTGAAAAGAGAAAAGATTTAAGACAATGGGAGGTTTGTTGCCTATGGAAAAGGCACTCCAGAGGACACAGTGTGAGAGTTGGGTGAAGTCACAATGAAACTTTGGAGTGGAAGGGTTAAGAGGAATGGGAATAAGGAATTAGGAGGCTGGGGTGGGGTGGTGTGGAATGGAGTTTGGATGATGATCTACAGGAGTTCAGAGTCACTGGGATGTGAAGAGTATGACCAGATGTGAGAAAGTTCATCATTGAGGCTTTTACAGTATAAGTACTGCTATTCCATACTCCTTTCTTTATGTGACAGGTGATATATGTTCTAAGTGTAGGCATCCTGGTTCTGCTTTAGCTACACCCATCCACACCTGGCTCATTCCTCTGCTTTCTACAAGGCTATAGGAAAGCAGGCTGTCATTTAACCAGAAGGGAAAATATATTATAATTTGCCCACCAGGTGGCACTCTACTGCAGTGATTGAACATGGGGGTCTTCCAAGGAGATGTCCTTTGTTTATGCAAAATAACCCTTTCCCCCACTACTTTGTGACTGAGCAAATTTACTTATACTTGCTACCAAATTCAAAAGTCAGTCTAGGGGAAAGAAAGTGGAATATTGTTTAAAATTAAGAGGATCATGAGACTTTGTGTGTGACCGTACTTCATCACACGTGGGAAATTTCTTTTGTTCAGCCGATTAAGTATTTCAAATCACTTCACAGGCAGTCCATACTGTTTCCATATACTGGCTGACATATGAACATATACATATATATACATCCACACATATATGTTTATGTGTATATATGTATGTATATATAGGCACCAAAAAATATTTAATGAACAAGGTGCATGTTAAGAGCCATTCAAAAATCAGTACTTAATGCTTTCCCCAGATAGTGAAATTAGGGGCAGAAGTTATAGATCTGATACTTCCTTTAACTGGGGCAAAATATACTTAGCACTGTGGGAGTGGGAAATGTGTCCTCCCACAATCTTATCAGCTGAGATAGCTCCCAGAAGTTGTCTGTCCAGAGGTTCCAGAATCAGGTCTGATCCAGATCTGACTTCAGTCCTTGTAGCCCTGAAAATATCTATGAGTCTGGTTCTCAGATTTCCCAGCCAGTAAAGTTTCTACGATGGAGAAATCTCATTTCAAAGGAAAAAATAGTGACTTCCCATCACACCCTTGTGTTGAAGACAAAAATACTAGGATTTTAGAACTTTAGTATGCTAAGAAGGTAGCTAATACAGATGGATCATCCTCATTCATCTCATTCTTCTAGGACAGCTGCTTACTCCATTGCAAAGGTTGAAAACCCTATCATAGGAGTGTAAACACTTTGAGAGGGCCTCTTGGGGATTCAGGAGAGAAAGGGAGAGGTGACAGGCTTTGCCTGGAGATCTGAGCTCTAAAGGACTAGCATTCAAACAAGAACTGTACGTCCAGTGCACACTGTGCACTTAAGTTTAGAACCAGACTTAAGGAAAATGTATGGTTTATATTTAGATTGATGGTGGTATATAATCTTGATAAATGACACTTTTCTGCTGGGTGGGTGAGGTGGCTTCTCCCAGAAACTTGCATAAACATTCCACTTCTTCCCCAACACTTGCTGATTCACACCATACTCTGTACCTCTTGACAGGCTGAAGAGGGAAACTTGATGGAAGAACCTTTCCTTCTGGTCCTGCTCCGGGAAAAGGAGTTTATGACCATGATCTACAATTCAAAGCAGGTTGGCAGACTGAGAAAAGCAACAGAATTATAAGAGTAGTTGAAGTAATCATTGCAATTACAATAATTAATTACCATCTCCTCTTACATAGGATGGCCCTGAAGGGAAAGAAACTCTGCAGAGCTTTGTAACCTGGGTCACAACAAAGACATTAGGGAAGACTCTGTCACTGGCAGTCATGGAACAGGAAAAATATTTTAGGTTTGGATTTGCTCTGGGGTAATCTTTTAAAGGACCAGGGAGTTGGTATTCTTTCCCTAACCAAAATCTGTCAGTAATGTATGTGTCACATCTCCAGTGCATGGTGTGCCTCTACCCAGCACAGGAGGGTTTCCCCAGTTACTCCTACTAAACAGAGCTGGGCCTAGAACTGCTATCCTCATTTCTTTTCATTCTTCCTAGCTCTCCAAAACCCCAGAGGAGGAAAAAACAGGGAGTCACAGTGAATAGAGATCAAGCCAAGGGGAAGGTAAATCAGAAGGGATCAAAGGAGAACAGAGAATTTGCTCCAGTATTGTCCAGGGTAGATGTAGAAATGGTAAGTAGAACTACCTCTTTCCTAAGCAATGCCACAAATTTGCCAAGTGGGCACCTATAATTGCATGTTTATTTTCACTGGTAGGTTAGATGTGCTTGGTTCTGAGGATCTATATAGAGCTTTGAAGGCTAGGTAATGGGGACCTCTGGGTGATTTTAAATGACAGTGAGAATAGACTGAACTACACTGGATGTGTATTTCTCTTCCTGTGCCTCAAGTTTCATCATTGCTGTTGTGCTTTTCTAGGCTTTGGTGGAGTTGCAGCTTCACACAGAAGCCCAGATTAGAATCCTGAAGAGCTGGAAGGAGCTGGCTGACTTCATCTGTATGTTCACCAAGGCTGTGGCTGAGGCACCCTTCAAGTGAGTGATATTAAACTTCATGCCAAGTCCTCATCCATTCTAAATATTCTTATGGTCAGAAAAAACATCCCTTTTCCATGATCCTGGCTCCAGTGCTCTTAGATGAAGAACTGATATTGTCCCAGCTGACCTAACACTTTGCAGACTTCTAAGCCTGGTAATAAAAATTCATGGTAATTTCCCTCCTGTGTGGGAGGTAGTGGGATACCATATACCAGAGAAGCAGCACTTACATTACTGATCGATTTTGAGAGAATCTCAAGTCCCTGGTAATGGATATTCATATGTTCCAAGTACATTGTTTTGATATGTTTGGGGGAGGGTTGGACTAGATTTTCCTTTAGGCAGTTATTCAAAGGTTCAGTAGTCAAACCCCAGCAAAATTAAAATCTCTTTAGATCAAGACTTCCATGGGGCAGCTAGGTGGTGCAGTGGATAGAGCTCTGGACTTGGAGCCAGGAGGACCCGAGTTCAAATATGACCTCAGGCACTTGGCACTTAACTAGCTGTGTGACCCTAGGCAAGTCACCTAACCCTGATTGCCTCAGCAAAAAAACAAAACAAAAAAAGACTTCCAAGTCCCACTTATATAAAGCAGTAAAGCATTACACAAAATTTAAATGAAACTCAATAGATAAAATTATGGAGTGTATTCTGTGATTTACCTGTATTCAGTGGCCCAGCAGGTCTAAAATAAGTCCAGTAATGATATCACATCCTGGGGATAGGGCTTTACGGAGATGAGCTCTACTGGGTTGCCATTTTGGGGTTAAGTAAGAGAAGGTGGCTTTTTAGCACACTGTTCCTTTGAGCTATTATCTGTGTTCATTTGAGTTTTACCTGCAGGAGATCTCGGGATCAGACTAATTTTTCCTTCTGTCTGGCGAGTGATTGGGCTGGAGGGGTAAAGGTGGACTGCTCTGGCAAGGGACTTACACTGGTCTGGAGGAGGCAGATTCAACAGCTAAATCGAGTTAGCTTGGAGATTGCCAGTGCAATCGTAAGCGCCTATCCCTCACCTCGGCTCTTGCTACAGGTAAGCGAGCTGTATTGTAGCACTAAATTGGACATCATCTTTGCTGGCAACTTTACCTTCTACCTTATGGATGAAATTTCTCAGTTTACCAGAAGTTAGGATTTTAAGTTGTGGTGACTTTTGTCCATGTGACCGTATTAATATCACTGAGCCTCATTTGTAAAACAAGGTGATGGCTGTAAAATTTGCAGATCAGCAAAAACCAGCTTGTTGTGAATGGAGCTGCTTGTCCCACCAAAAAAAAAAAAAGAAACTGCAGCTCTCAGCCACTGGGGTAGGGTCTAATTTGTTGAAGATGTTTAGACAACATTTATTGTTTTTTAGGCATATCAGCAGTGTTTATCCGAGCAAGAATGTCACAATCTGCTTGCAGACATCCAGGTGCGCCGAGGGGAGGGTGTAACAACTACTTCTCGACGAGTTGGGCCAGAGCTCTCTAGGCGCATCTATTTTCAGATGACCACTTTGCAGCCAGACCTCTCTCTGGATGGCACATAGTGACACTCCTAACCAAAACTGACGGTTGAAAGAGCACTCTAATATCCTTTTGCAGGAATAAATGGGAGCAGTGATCCTGTCAGTTCAATTTCATTCCCTTTCCTGAAGGAAACTAATGTGACTAAATACAGGAGGGTGACCCAGAGAGAACTGGTTCCTCATTGTCAATTTACGGAATTCTTCCCTACCCAACAGATTAGGCAAAAAGTTAAATCTACATGCAAGTGGATCAAAGATATCCCACAAGACACTTATTTAATAACAATTATAAAAACCTAAAAACAGTCCATTATAAAGTTTAGGAAATTCTAACAATTATGATTGAAATGGAGAGTTAAAGCTCTTGGTGGGTTTGTCTGTGGGCTTGTTCCCTATAACCAATCCCCTCACATCTTATAAATCACATGGAATGGTAATCCTTTTCATTTGGGTGGGGTTGGGTCACTGTATAGCTTTGTGTACTTGCTTACAATAGTTATGTGCTTATACAATAAAGTAATTATAAAAATGGTCCCAGTGCCTGAAGGTAAAAGTAAAAGAATACATAGTCATTTCTACTACCACTCATGACATGTGTTTCAAAGAGAAATAGTGAAAATAGGAACAAAAAAAAATTTTCTTAATGCTAGGAGAGCCCCCACAGGTAGGCAGTTCCATATCACTGTGCTAAAACATTTGTCCCTGGAGTTGATGTCGTCTTCCCTTTGCTGTCCCAGTAGAGTTTTGTTTTGTTTTTTAAATCAGGAATTTTTCCAGTGAATAAGCATCATCAAGGGGCAATAATTATCCCTTTCTCCCTGAGAAAAAGGACCTGAAGCAAAATCAAACACACACACACCCTCACCCCCAACCCCCAGTGTTTAATATAGCTTAAGCTGGCTGCCTGGCTTTGTTAATAGGCAACATTTTAATTGTGCACAGTAACTGCTGATGCCTCTTAAACCTTGTTAGGAAGAGGCAAAGAACAGAAATTAAGCTTGTTTATAAATCTTAGTCCCAGTAAAACATTATCTACTCCAACTAAGAATGAGGTAACAACCCTCCATCATACCATAGCACAAAGGGGTTTCCTTTTCTGACATGCCTTGCCTGTACTTAGACCCTTCAGGTGATCTTAGAAAAATGGCAGGAATGCAAAAGTCGGCATAAACTACAAAGGGCCTGTACTAGTGGAAAAAACTAGTTTTAGGTTGCCACTGGTAAGTCAAATATTTCTTTCTTCAGTGCTAGTTAAGCCAGGCCATATTCCTATCTAGCCTCCTGAGTTTGTATGGACATGCTGAAAAGTTTCAACACTGGATTGGGACGGCTGGATTCAGGCTCTGTCACTAATTAAATCACTATAAAATCAGGGGGTTGGACTAAATGGTTGCTAAGGTCCAATCCAGCTATAAAAAAAAAATCCATTATTTCTGTAGTTACCAAATTGCTTTAGTGTCTTGATATATAAGAAAATAGGTATTTTATCTTGGACAGTGAGTTTTGCATTTGTTGCCTCCTGATCTTGTTTTTGTTGTCAGTGAGATCCTGGCCCAGGAAGTTATGAGTGAATAGATTTGTGACATACAAAAATATAAATGTGGAGACAGCTGACCATTTAGTAAAAATATGCCTCACCTTTACATAGCTTTGGATACCTGGATCAGAAAAGAGGAATGTTCGTGTCCTCCCCTCTAGCTTATTCCTTTAGGCATGCAGACTACTGCTCCCCCCACCCCCTACCCCTTCCCATTTTCTAAATCTATAGGGAACAGAATCTTGCATAAGGAACAGAGGCAAATTCTAACATGGATCTCCTAGGACATAAAAACGGCTGTCTCAGGTACCAATTGATTGCCAGTTGGTGGTGACAAGTAGGTCCAATGCTATAAAAGGTAATGTCTGGCAGAACACAATTCCATAGGAATCCTGGCTCCACAGACAATGAGGCAGCCAATGCTGATAACACACTTATTGCTGAGAGTTTGGCTGTAAGACTCGCTGCAGGATTTCATGGCTACGAAGCCCATGGAGGACATTCTCATAGATGGTGTTCACATTGATGCAGAAAGGCTGCCACTGTAGATCTGTCACCTGACAGGCAACTAAAACTCCTGTGGCACTGAGAAGCACCATCAGCAGCAGCTTTAAGAAAGCCCAGGACCACGAATGCTTTTGAGGGCGAGACTTCATAGAACGGGAACCAGACTTGGCCTCTGGAATGACACAGGTATGTTAGACAAAGAGAAGACGACTTTAGTGGACAGACCCTCCCCACCCTGTTCTGAAATGTACCAAATCACATTCTGCTGGTCCCTTCATACCACTTTAATGAGTAACTAACCCAGTTTCATAAAAGGGAAAAGTGCTTAAGATTGTTTCTTGAACAATACTATATTCAAAAGATCAAAACTTGGCTTTCCCCTCCCTTTGGCTTTTTAAAGAGAAAAGAATCTAAAGTGGAAGTGTTTATATAACAGGTGTATAATTTTGATGATGAATGGTCCTCCTCATGATCTATTAATAATATACCGAATCAGAGGCTGACTTGATTCAGAATCTCGACATCTTGGTCTGGATTACCACAGAGAAAATATTATTTCCTAAAGCACAGACCCTTAACAGTGTTTCTACACTTCAATTCACATTACATCAGCTGAACAGTTTTCAAGCTCAGTGATTCCTGCTACTGAACACACAAGGCAATTCTAAGCCATCACTTTCACTGGAAAGTCATGACAACTTACTTGCAGGCTGATGTGTCTCCTTCTTGGGTTTTTTCTCTTGTTCCTTCTTATTAGCTGCTTTGACAGCATCATATTCTTTTCTCCGACGTTCCTTTTCCTCTGCTTTCTCCTTCTTTCTCACTTCTCGTTCTTGGGCTTCCTTGGCCCGCTGCTTGGCCTCACGCTTTTTCTCTATTTCTAAGAGCACAAGAAATATTTACTTTCCCTGATACTGCCATAATGGAAATTGTGCAGGTTTTGAAGTTCTAGCTCAGCCATTTTCATGTTTGCTTGTTGAGCAAGTCACAACCTTGGTTTCCTCATCTGTAAATTGTGATATCTGGACCAGATGAGTCAAGATCTGTTCACTCCTAAATCTATAACCACAACCCTATCCCAATTCATTTCCCAAGAGGGAGCAGATTTCTTCTTTAGGCTTACATATACTTTCTGATTGCAAAGACTGGATAAATTCAGCATGCTTTCCCTCTGTGTCATGAGGCAGATAAAAAGACTGCCACCCATCTTTCCCAGATTATAATTCTTTACTATAGCAGATGACCTAGAAATGAAATCAAAAGAATAGAAGGGATACATGCAAAATAAAGTCTAGATACTGAAAATGAATTAATATCTAAGGTAGAAGACTAGATAGCCTTCAAAATTAGCAAGAAAACGAGAGCTCTGAAAAGAGGGACAGTATCTGAAGAGTTCCAGTTTTCCAGAGTTGATGAATGAATGAGAAATATACAAAGAAGTCTGCTGAGACTAAGAAAATAAACTGCACCTATTTAGGGTGGTTGGGTATTGTCCTTTATTCTGATGTGCTGATTAAGTTCATGAATAGTTAAATTTGACAGTAAATAACTTTTTCACTTTTATTTTTTGGCAATTGGGGTTAAGTGACTTGTCCAGGCTCACACAGCTAGTACGTGTCAAGTGTTTGGTCTGAGGCCAGATTTGAACTCAGTTCCTCCTGACTTCAGGGCCGGTGCTCTACCCACTGCACCACCTAGCTGCCCCTAAATAACTTCTTTTATGCTACAGTTCCAGTCTACGTTAACATCTCTAGATCAACACAAAATGTTCCAAAGAGACAAGCCTCAAATCATGAAACAATCACGGTTCAAGTTTTATTTAAGTTGGTTCCCTAGAATACAGAACATTTTCCTGCAGGAACAATAGTGTTTATTTGCTTATTGAGCAAGTCACAACCTCGGGGCCTTCCTTTCCTCATCTTCAGTCTCTACCAAAACTCTGCCACCCCAGAAATAGAAGGTCCTGCCGATAAAGAAGAGCCTTTCCCCCATCACAGCAGCACTTTGTACATAAGAAATAGTTAAGTTAAAAAGTTCCTCTATCAGGGAATACCTATAATTATTTGCTAAAACATGTACAGCCCACGACCATTTGTCAAAATTCTCTGTAAGACAGATTAGAAATCACCCACCCACTTCTATTCACTCTGCTGGTTTCTAGCTTCTGATATTCAGAAAATACCACTTTTTGATAGTGTAATCTACTAAGTTGACTTGAAGACAAAGAGTCTGGAAGGAGTTTTAAAATCAGAAATTTTTTAGAATCCATACCCCCAATTATATTTGGTTACTAGTCCAAGGTACCAAACCACAGTCAGCTTCACATCCGATCCATCAGGCCTTCTTATGATCTGCATGCTGCCACTATCCTGATGCCTCTCTCCCGACTTCCCACCTCTTAAGAACAAAACTCCATTCTCTGGTCTCTACTTTCTATATATGTTATCTTCCCTTATAAAATCTAAGCATGACAGCATGCATGCATACAGATATGTAGTATCCCTAGCATTTAGCATACTGACTGGTACATAATAAACATTTAATAATTTTTTTTTTTCATTAAAAAACAACGGGTACTTACCTCGCTCAACCTCCAGCCGCCTTTGTTTCTCTCGCTCTTGATCAGCCTGAACAACTTTCATGTGCTGCAGTACCTTCAAAAAAAGAGTCAGTACTGTCATCTTACAGGTAAAAAATGCAGTTTGGCAAAACCAAACCAACACACTGATCATGTCTGACACAGAGTATGGTCTCCCACCTCTTTGATGAAGGGTAGGAAGTACATTTTCTCAACTCTTTCTTTGGGTGTTTACAATTACATTATAATTACAAAGTGTCAAGTTTCATTTGTTCTATTTGCACTGTCATCTAGTCCTTGTAGATATTGTTTTCCTGGTTCTTACTTCAAGCTCCTCACTTCTCTGAATTCATGTTTATTTATACACATTTATTTCTATTTGTTTTTGGCAAGGCAATCAGGGTGAAGTAACTTGCCAGGGTCATAGAGCTAGTAAGTGTCAAGTGTCTGAGGCTGGATATGAACTCAGGGCCTTCTGAGTCCAAGTTCAGTGCTCTACCCACTGTGGCACAATTGCCCCCATATTTGTTATTTATAATGGCACATAATACTTCCTTACATTGTCATGCCACAATTTGTTTATCCATTACCCAACAAATGATGAGCACTTTTGTTTCCAATTTTTTGTTACCACAAAAAGAATACTAATTCTTACTACTAATATACTAGCTCGAAATAACTAAGCCCCATGAATGGGCAAGTATCATATTCAAAGTTCTGGGTTCCCTTACACCATTCAGGCATTTGAGAGCTTATAGAAAATTTAACACCTGTCCTTGCACCCTAACCAATCAGGGCTGGACAAGATGTTTGATTAATTATTAAAATAGTATGAAAAAAGCCAGGAAATCTACAAGGCCAAAAGAGGTGTTCTTTTTAAACACAACTCCATTTCACTCCTCACCCAGAACCTCTTATCAACTGCAGATAAGCTGAGTCACAGAATCTGAAAGCAACAAGAAGGACCACTCAAAGCTCACGTAACATGCTGAGGAAGGAAGAGATTTTTTTTTACTTCTTTAAGAAGATAACTGTCTGGGGAAAGCTAGGTGGCACAGTGGATAGAGCACCGGCCCTGGATTCAGGAGGACCTGAGTTCAAATCCGGCCTCAGACACATAACACTTACTAGCTGTGTGACCCTGGGGAAGTCACTTAACCCCATTGCCTAGCAAAAAAAAAAAAAAAAAAAAAAAAGATACTGTCTGTATACACAACAAAGGTAGTAAAATCTGAACTGTCAAACTCTATGATACAATGAATATTTCCATATTTTGTTGCCACACCTAGGCATGATCTTATACCTTACCAAGATAGGCATAACACTGGACACTTATTTTCAAATGCGTTTCTAATAACTTAGAGTCCTGACATCTCTATACCCACAGTCAAGTAACCCCTTCAAATCAGTTTTCGAGTTCAGGGCCAAAGAGTTTCAGAGTACTAAGCTAAAGGACACAGAACTGAAACTATGTTCAAATATGTCTGAAACCTTTTGGGGCGGGGGGGAGTACAGCTCAATGCATGAATAGGCTATTCAAACAACAGGTGTTTGTTTCATGGGCAGATCTGGAGAAAAGTCAAACACATTAGTGGAAGTTGGCCAAAGTTCAAATTCTATGGGACTCTAGGTGTTAAACTTATGACCATCCCCTCAGTTCCTACTCTAAGACATGTACAATTTAGAGAAGGAACTGGGAGATATGGAAAGTCCCTTTCATAGTCCACTACAGTAATCACTTACTGGAGTTAATTATCCAAAAGTACATATTTAATACCAAGAGAAACAAAAAATACCTTATTTTAAAAGATACCGGCTATTTAAAAGACTTGGCAGCTACCATGACCACAGCATAGAAGTTCACAAAAGATAATGGTCAGAAATGATGAAATTTGTTTGTTGTTGTTTGTTTTTCATTCTGGAAAAGGACCATGACATTAGGGAGATGATGCCATGACATCCAAGTGAATTGGATTTAAGTGAAGGAAGGCTGTGCAAAGTCACCAGCCTCACTTTCTCTTCTGGAGCCATCAGGGTCCATTGGCAAGATATACATCAGGACAGCTAGAAATGGCCCCAGATGCAATGAAAACAAACAATACTTAAACCATCACTATGAAATGTAGGCTCAATTAATACTGACTGGTAGATATTTCCCTACTACACCATTAAGAAATTAGATATGTGGTGTAGACCACAGTAGTTTAACCAGCCAGTGAAGTAGAAATCTAGTATAGTGACTATGGTTTTAGAGATGAGAAGCCCACAGTGACTTGATCCTATGATGCTGGCCTTGTTTAGTGATCAAAGAAAGTGTTGACAGGCAGGACAGTCGTGGTGGTGTTTTTTTTCTTTTTCATATTAATAAAGGCAGGACATGTTATCTCCTGATATACCCAGTATAATTAAAATAACAGCTAACATTGATATTTTGCTTTAAGGCTTACAAAATGCTATATAAATTTGATCACGGATATGTTATGGTTGACACATTCCTTTAGTCAACGTAAAAGCTTTAAGAGAAAAACAATGTGCCAATACCATGGGAGTACATGAACAAGAAACATATAAGGATTAAATACAGGGGCCATATCCTTACTCTGATAGCACTCTGCTTACACTGCTTCTCATCCAAGCAATCACCAGCCACTTTGGCCAGGACAGGATCTAGAGGGTTATCCTTCAGATCCAGCCATTTCAGGTTCTAAAGAGGAAACAAACAGATTAAGCAAGAATTCACAAACATGTTCCATCGAAAGTAAATAAACATAAAGAGGTAAAAAAACAATTTAGATTCTGACTGAGGCAGTCAGGTGAAGTAATTCCCCCTTCAGTGGAGAAGAGACTCCACTATAAACCTTTTCAGAGATAATACACTGGTGTGCAAGACATGTTTGCCAGTGTTTGGCCTTATGGAGAAATGTTACCTTAAGCTGAGCAAAGCTGACAGGCAGGGTGACAAGCCTATTGTTGAGGAGGTCCAGATGTTGTAAGTTGACTAGACGGCCAAAGTCAGCAGGCAGCTGCTGCAGGCGATTTTTACTCAAGTCCAGTTTCACCAGGTGTGTTAGTCCACAAAAATCAGACTAGAACCCAAACCAAAAAGAATTCTATTTCATTCCACAAGCATTTAGAAGAACACTTAAGACTTTGATGACGGGTAGACCTAGTCAAGTCCTTGCACATATGGTCAACAAAGGCCACATCACCATCATTAAAAGTAAAACAGTATAATGGAAAGAAACATGAACATGGAGTTGGGAGAAATTTGGGTTCAAATCTGGCCCCTGACAACCATTATCTGAGCAAGTAACCTAACCTTTCTCCAGGACTCCTTCTACACATGTGTAAAATGAGAATTAAAATTCCATGGTGTCTATTTCATAGGGATTTTGTGAACATCAAATAAATTCTTCATAAAACTGAAAGCACCCTAAATGTCAGTTATTATTATTTAAATAGCACATCAGACGCTATCCCTTGCTCTTTCTCCAGGCACTTACAATCAAGTGCATAGATAACCAAACAGGTACTAAACAAGGAAGACAGTGGCAAGAGAGCTACATAGGCAGAAGAGGAGAAAGAGCTCAGAACTGCTTCCAGAAGAGGTAGAATTTCAAAAGCTTCATTAATTCAACTCAAATAATCAAATACTGAAGACCTACTGTGTGACAGGCAAGGCAAGGCATACAAAAGATAAGCAAAATTCAATCCTCTAACTTAGTGAGTTGTGAATGATATGCCAAAAAACAGAGCATCAATAAAACATTTTAAAAAGTACAAGAAAGTTCAGAAATGGACACAAAAAGGGCAATTTTGTTACTAGTGTTAAATTTAATATATACTCTTTAAAAATTTCGTATACTGATGCTCATAGTTGTTAACTGATTACGTTCCTATTATAAAAAAAATTTTAAATAATCTCTGCCCTCAAGTATGTTAATAACAATAGTTTAAAGCAGAATATACTAAGGACCATAAGAAAGGTTTAAGTAAAATGACATAAAGTGGTTCAGAGAAGGGAGCACAACCAATTTGAGGAAGGTGGTGAGAATTAGGAAAGTGTTCATGAAAGATGGATTCTTCAAGAATAGATTCCGACAAATTTTTGTTAAAGGGAAATCCAAGCACAGGATATGTATTCAGGTAGCAGCAAATTACCAAGTTTGAGTAGAGTGTAGGAGGGGAGGAGTATACATAGGTTCAAAGGAAAACCTGAAGTGATTTCAATTATTATCATCCTACTCTCCCAATTTGAGTTTTCTTCCAAGGCACAATCAATACTTTTGGTGTCTTTTTCACAGCTTACAAAAATTTGTTTCTACTTTTAACTCTGCACAGTGTCGTTTCCCGCATATTTAAGGGACTGGGTTTCAGTTCCCTACTCTGTAAAATGAGAGGGTTGATGTCTAAAATACTTTCCAGTCCTGCCATCTGCTGATTCTAGTACTTAATATACTTGTGAGAACCTTGATACTGACCTATGATACAATGAGCAGTTATCATGAGGTCTTGAGAAAGGTCTGTCAAACAAAGTGAGGAAGTAAGGGGGAGACAGCTTTGGCCATAAAATTAACAGTCGACTGTAGATGTTCAGCTCTTCTCCAATTGTATATATTTTTTGCCTGCTACCAATAAAACTGCTGTACTTTTGTACAAATAGGTCTTTTTTGACTTTTCATTATATATTTAGGATAAAACTAAAACAGTGGAATCACTGGTTCAAAGGTGGATGATCAGTGTTGTAATTCTGCTGTATATGGTCAGCCTAATCATGAAAAATATTTGTGACACTCTACTGTGCCACCAACAGTGTAGTGCAGTGCCTATTTCCCTGTAGCCCCACCAACACTGAATTTTACCATTTTAGCTCATTTCTTGACACTGTCTTGTTCTGTTCTATTGTAGATTTACATGTACATGCCCTGTCTCCCAACCTAGCTAGAGTATGCTTTGAAGACAAGAACCATGTCTTTTTTTATGTCTTCCCCCTCCTCTTTCCCCACCTAGAATAAGGCGAATATAGGGGTAAGTATGCAGATGTTTAATAAATGTTTATTTTTTTTTTTAAAGTTAACAACCAGGTCAGTGCTAAATGTGGTGATGAATCTGGCGATTAACCAGATAAGAGATGACCAGAACCTGAACCAAGCTAGCACTTATAGGGATGAAAGGTAAATGGCAGATTTGGGAGGAGTTGTGAAGGACAAGGCAACAAGAATTGGTAACAGACTGGATGTGATGACAAAAAGTGGTTAGTCTCAAATTATAGTTTCTTACTTGGGCAGCTGATGAGCTAGTGGCCACAGAGATGAGTCCAAGGCCCAATAATCCTTTCCTGTCCCCACCAAGGAAGCATGTTGTTCCTAAAATACCCTTCTTCCTAGGAACTCAAAGCGATTCACAAAATTGTTTCCACTCTCCTCAGTGATGTGAGGCATGAAATATTTTCCTCACTTTGCAAAGGATAATCTGAGGCAAAAAGAGAATGAGTGACTTGCCCACGCTGTAGATAAAGCAAGGACTAAACCCCAGGTTTTTATCTCCTAATCTGGAGCTTTATCCACTCAATCTCATATCCCTGAGTCTTAATGCCACAAAAAAACAAAAAACAAAAAACAAACAAACAAAAAACCACAGCCTAAGCCATTCTATGATGAGGCTCTCTTGTTCTGAAATTCATCAATTTCCCTGTAGAACCTGCTTCTCTTCATGACTTCACTGTTTGTTATGGCACCACCATCTCTGAAGACTAAAAATCTGTCATCTTTGACTCTCTCCTCCTTAACCTGCCACCTGTAAACACAGAATCTTGTTGATTTTACCTCCACAAGATCTCGTTTATCCATCCATTACCGTGGCCATCACTGGTTCAGGTGTGATAATTACTTCAGTACCCTAACTGGCCTCTCTATTTCAACACACTACTTCCTTTATAAGAATAACAGATTAATGTTCCAAAAGCAAAGCCCTAGTTCTAAAACAATTTCTACTCAAAAGTCTTCAGTGGCTATTGCACAACATCAAAACTCCCCCTAGCTTTCGATACTCTGATTTGTGCCCAACTTTTCTTTCCAGAGTCCCCACATTAAGCCCCTTTTACAACCTACACTTACTGCCCAGAACCTTCCAAATATGGCTATTCAAGCATAGTAGATGTCTAGCACCATGCTTCTGACAATTTCTACTTTGGCATCTTAAGATATGGCTGCTTTTGACCTGCTGACCCAAACTTCCTTTTTGAGTATGTTTCTTAGCTTTCATGACTTCACACTCCTATTGCTTCTCTTGGTTTCTCATCCAGTTCCCAAGAATGGCTTTGACTCGTGGTTTCTGCTAGATCTGTCTAGAAAAGGAACTAGTTATCTGTTCCCATTCTCAAACTGGTAGCTTTGATGACCTAAATCATCTAGAAAAATACCCTCTGCTGACCCCACTGCCTCTCTTCTTACACTGTCAGCCCCTACTGCCAGGGATAAATACATGAATACTGAGCTCTTTCGAGATTCCTCTTCATACATACATACCTACTACACATACTGGCATACATACACTCCACACCAGCAAAACTACACTACTCTCCTTCCCCTAAACATGGCCTAAGGCCCCTTGCTTTTTATGCATGTGTTGTTTACTCTACCTGAAGTATCATTCCCCCCAACTTCCACCTGGCCACCATGCAAGACCTAATGCAAATTCCACCTCCTCAATGACTTCCTCAATCATCAAAATGATTTTATCAGTGGAAATGACATTAAAGAGGCATTACTATCTGCTTTGCCACTGCACCCTAAGGACCATGGGACTTTTTCATTCAATTAGCAGCTAAAACCTTCCACGTATCTTCCCCATTAGAATATGAGCTTCTTTAGAGCAGAAGCTTGATTATTGTGTCCCCAACCTTAACACAGTGTTTTACATATAGTAAGCACTTAATAAATGCTTTATTCATTCATTCATTCAATCCACATCACCAAGCCAGAAGTAATTTCTCCTTTCCCTAAGCTTCCATAGCACTATATATTTTTCTGATTATACTTGTATTATCAACTTGATTCATTTGTATGTTATCTTATTTCCCCTACTAGACTTTAATGTCCACAAAGATAAAAATATATTTTATTGTTTGTATCCCCCATAGCATATATCATAGAGTCTTACACATTATAAATATTCAATAAAATAATTTTAAATTAAGACCCTGTCCTCATCAATCCCTCCTCCTAAAACCAACTACTAGTCTCCGTATATTTGATTAGAGCCACTGACTCTCCCAGGGATTCACACTCATGTTACATCCCCCCAGCCTGGAGCAAGGCATTCCCCCAGTCTGGAGCAAGGCATCCCCCCTGGTGCTCCAAAGAGAACCAGAGTCCTTTGTTGATCTTACCGGTAATGAAGTCAATTTGTTGCAGGACAGATCCAGTACTGTGGCCTTTGGGAGAGCAGCCTAGGAAAGGAGCAAAGAAGAAATGTAAAATCCATATTTGGTCAGAGGCTATTATATTTGGTGGTATCTATTTGCTAATGGAGTATCTTTCCAGAGTGGGAGACAGGATAGATTAAAAAGCACAAAACAAGAATAAAATGCTGAGATGGCTCAAAAAGGAGAGCAAAAACTGAGGCCAGACATCAGTTACTTATGGAAGTACAGAAAGAACAAAGTGTGGCACACAATGAAGGAAAACTTGGATACTAGAATAGAATTTAGGGCTTCCAAGCAACGCTAGATACATCTTAAAAATCTTCAGAACCATCCCTTCTTCTGATTAGGGCAGGGGTTTTTGACTTTTTTTTTTTTAACCCAGACCCCTTTGGCAATCAGGTGAAGCCTATGGACCACTTCTCAGAATAAAGCTGTTTTTTTGTTTGTTTTCCAAAATTCAGAATGGAAGGAGACACTAAATTTCCATTAAAAGTTAATGAAAATATATATTTTTTCCATCCAAGTTTATGACCCCCCTGAAATATATCCAACTGGCATTAAGAACTCCTGACCAATTTGTAGTGCTAACCACAACAAACCCAACTCCACCCAGTTTTGGGTTGAAATGAGAGTAAGACCAGAGATAAGACATTCAGTTAATGACATTCTACAACCAATAGGAACCAAAGAATTGCAAAATATCGCAGCTAGAAGGGACTCCGGGGAACATCTATCTAATCTAAATCCACTCAGTCTACAGATGTGGAAGATGATGCCCAGAAATGAAAGTGGCTTGCCCAAAATCATAATGTTAACAAGTGGTAGAGCCAAGATTTGAACCCAGATCTTTTAGGTCGAACACTACTTCCCCAATGTGTGCATCCCATCCTTTGGGCAAGCCACTGCCTCTCTTGAGGCTTCAAAATCCTTATCTGTAAAAATAAACAGCCTGAACCCCAGTCTCTTCCTGTCCCAACATTCTAGGATTCAATACACTTCCCATATGTTCGAGAAAACAAAGGTCAGACAGACCAACCAGTCCAGCCCAACTTTTTCCGGCCCAAGTAATGCCCGCAGGCTACTTCTAGCAGCTGGGATTGCAGAATTCCCAATTGTCACTAATTCTCAGCCACGCCCAGGTCCCTAGAAAGGCCTACTTCTCCAGGGCCTAAGAAAGAGACTGCAGGACCCCCCTCCTCTTACGTCTCAGATCCATTACGTTAAGGTCAGAGCCGGAGAATACCATCGCGTCTCAGCCCCTCATTTTACAGAGAAGGAAACTGAGGCCCAGAGTGGAAAAGGGGCATTGCCCAAAACGCCGAGCTGGGCTTGGAAGCGGGGCCTCCGCGGCACCAGCCAGGAGGAATCCATCCTCCCAGGAATGACACGTGTCCAGTCCCGGGGCCCCGGTTCCCAGACCCCGCTCCCGCTCGGGCCCGGGGCGGCGCCCACACTGACCAGCTCCTTGACCGGCACCTCGGTGAGGTCGCCGAGGCTCAGGTCCAGCTCGTTGCCGTCCAGCTTGTCGCGCAGGCTGGCTCCCTTGCCTCCGCTCTTGGCCATGGCTCCGGGAGGTGTGGGGGATTGGGGGTGCGGCCGAGGCGCGCGAGGGCTCGGCGGGGGGTGGGGGCGGCTTCCGGCGGCGGGCGCGCGCCCGGGCGCTCGGCAAAGCTTCGCGCGGCTCTATGCGACGGCCGTTTAACGGCCAGAGATGCGTTTGCCAAGCAGAGCTTCAGACGCCTAAAGCCCGGACGCCGCCGCGCCCCGCCCTTCCGACCTCCTCGTACCCGTGGGCCCGGCACTGCCACCGCTACCCTGCGTCCAGGATACCGTGGCCAGCCACCGTAGCCCGCGACCCCGTTCCCGCCTCCGTCACTGCCGCCGCCAACCACTTCCGTGTCCACGTCTTCCCTCCGGGAGACACCGAGGCGCCTCGGGTGGGGCCAGAGAGGCTCGCGCATGCGCGAGTGAGCGCCCCGCCGCCCCCTAGTGCTTCGGAGGCTCCCGCGGGGCACACGTGGAAAGCAGTCTGTGTCCCAAGCGAGAGAATTGTAGGTTCTGCATGCGAAAGTGTTAGACCCGGAACCGTCCTTGGAAGTTCTAGTCAATCAGCTATCACTTATTAAGCGCCTTCTGTGTGCCAGGTACTGTAGTAGGCACTGGGGATAAAAGTACAAAAATGAAACCGTTCCTGTTCTCAACGTATTTCAGGAAGGAGGCTGTAACACATCTATAGCTGTACACATAGATACAGATAGAGTTCCACATGGACACACATACATACACATACATACATGTATATACACAACTGAAATCATAGATCCACTATATGTACACATACATTCACACCTTTACACAATATTTAGCTACACATATAAGTATATACCATATATCAGATCCACTATATATACTGTATACATGTGAATATTATATGTGTGTGTATATGGTAGACCTGAGGCATCATTGAGCAGGCAACTTGGTGACTCAGTGTATAGATAGGCTTGGACTGAGGAAAACCTAATCTGAAGTCCAAATTTTTAGATACTTACCTGCTGTGGGACCCTGGGCAAGTCACTTAACCTCTGTATGCCTCAGTTTACTCTTCTACAAAATGAGGATAAAAGTAGCACCTACCTCCCAGAGTGTTTGTGATGATTAAATGATACATTATTTGTAAAGCATCCAGAACACAGTAGATGCTGTATAAATGCTTATTCCCTTCTCATTCCCCTTCTCTAAAATGAGGTAACATTTGTAAAGAACTTTACAAACTTTCAAATGCCATATACATGCTGGCTATTATTGTTGTTGTTGTTGGAAACTGTCTCTACTAATACTGGGTGTCACCTTCCTATGGGGTTGCTCAGAGAGCTAAGAGGTTAGGTGACTTGTCCAGGGTCACACAGTAAGTATCACAGGGAACATTTGGACCCACTTTCTTCAGTCAGATCTTTATCCATTTGACAGCACCTTGCTGCCTAGTGGGAGGCATACACAATTCAAATCATTGCTCTTTGAAACCTTTTTCTCTGATTTAAAGATACCATCCTCACTCTGCTTCACACAGATCAGTAAATAATCACCACCACCACCTCTGAAGTAGGTTGTGTAAGTATTATTATCCCTATTTTACAAATGAGAAAACTGAGGTGGTCCCGTTCTTCCAAATTTCCCGATTTCTGGTGTACGCACCATCAGCCTTCCAATCTTACAGGTTCAGAACCCCCATGTCATCTAGCTGCTGCTGCAGTAAGGAATTCTACAAGGCTGAGTCATGGACAAAATCAGGGACTCTGTCTAGAAGGTAGAGGTGAGGAGGAAGTAGTTCTGGTCATACAGGTCAGCCAGTGCAAAGGCAACAGAGATGAGAGATTGAGCGACCTATGTGAGAAACAGCAAAAAGGTCAGTTTGTCTGGACAACAGAAAGCAGGAAGAGGAGTCACATACAACGACACTGAAAAGATAGGCCCAGGTTGCCAAGGCTATAAGACCCAAACAGAGTAGCTTGTATTTTATTGTAAGGACAATAAGAAGCCACTGGAGTTAACTTAGCAAGGCTCCACGATTAAGAAAATCTACTTTGGGAGCTGTGTGGAAAATAGATTTAGAAGTATAATGATGCTTATCCTGGCCCACTGCCTGAAGGCCAAGTGTGCTACATTTCACCTTTCCCCCAGGGTTCTCTGGGACCCTTAAGGAGTTTGGGAAGTGTGTGGTCTTTCTGCCATTGGCTCAATTCCCCACCAATGGAGTTTTCCCATTTTTAGGGAGTGTTTTGCACTCCAGTTGCATTTAATCAGTTAATAGTTGAATGCACTTTAGGAAGGAGCGTTTGCTTTAAAAGCATAGCAAGAACAAACATATAAACGTTCCCTTCCTCCTCCCCCTCTCCCCAATACCACCTCAGTCTCCAGAAAGAAGGAGGGGTCTAGGTTCACAGCTTGGTTCATTTCCTATACAGCACAGCCCCACCAAGTTCCAAGTTCAAAGCCCAATGGGCTTGAGTCCCAGGCACCCTGGCGTCTTCGGAGTTTCTTTGCTACATTAGCAGTAACATCTAACCTGGAATCCTATCCTCCAGGGTCACTGTGGCTCAAGTCCAGATCTGGCGATTCCACTTCTGTGCCTAGATGTGAAAAGAACAAAAGGAATAGAGCAAAACCCCAAGCACATTTCTTGGAAACAAAGGACTTAAAGAGAAAGGGAGGGTAGTTCTTACTGCCCCCCGCCCCAGCTTAGTTCATGATGCCTATGCTGTGGATGAATAGCATCTCTCTGCCTTGCACAGTGCCAGAAAGGGAAAAGAGAGGGAGGGAGAAGGAGAGAGAGAGAGAGGGAGAGAGAGAGAGAGAACACATCCTGTTACTTTTAAAGATACAGCTTGTGGAAATATGCTGTTACCATCCACATAGTAGGAGAACTAATTATGTCTTCTCCCAGAAGCAGGTTCCTGGTGCCTTCCATGTGGGTGCCTCCTTGTTAGGTGATCTAGGACAACACAAAATAAAGTCTTGTTACAGAAGGGAGAGAGGCTTGAGGTGGGAAGACCAGTTAGGAAGCTAATGAATTGGTCAAAGCAAGAGACGATAAGGGCCTAAACTAAGATGGTGGTTTTTCAATTGGTGAAAAAGGGACAGATTAGGGAAATATTGTGAAGGTATAAATGGAAAGATTTGGAAACTGATTCTGGAGTGAGTGAGAATGAGAAAACATGACTAATGCAGAGGTTACCATCCTGGACACTGGAAAGATGGTAGTTCCCTTAACAGTAATGAGCAGGTTCTGAAGAGGGTTAGGTTTCAGAAAGGAGATAACGGTCATGTCTTTCGGTCATCTTCATGTTAAGTTTGAGATATCTCTGGGACAAGCAGTTCGAAATGACCACCATGTGAATGGTGATGCAGCCTTAGAGTTCAGGAGAGAGATTGGGGCTGGATATATCTATATATATGTATGTCATGGGAGTCATCTGCATAGAGATGATACTTAAACCTTTGAAAGCAGAAGAGGTTACCAAGTAAGAGAGTACAGACACAGAAGAGAAAAGGGTCTAGGATAGAACCTTAGAGTACACCCATGGGTAGAGGACGTGATAGGGAAGATGAGCCTGCAAAGAGGTTGTCAGGTTGAGACCGAGCAGGACAGATCATCCCATCCAAAAGTATAGAAGGGGACAGAGCCTGGCCCTGGCACAAAGCTCCAATTCAGGAACTACAGCTGGAGAAATGAGTAAATCAAAGAAGATCCAACCAGTATCAAAAATCATTACAAATCTAGAGATTCCCCCAAAAGGGAAGAGTAACTCCATTGTAATTGCAAGCAGAGACTCAAATAAAAAGGGGGATTTTCCACAAGGAGTACGTGGCCAACTAGAAGAAATGAAGCAAAAGATACAAAATAAATAAAAGCATAGGAGGAAAGATTTGGAAAGAGAATATATAAAAAATGTAACAGCTTAGAAAGTGGTAAACCTTACTACCTAAAAACTAGAATAGACCACAGAACTCAATGACTCCATAAGACAACAAGAAATATTAGAACATGATAAAAAGATTGAAAAATGGAAGAAAATATAAATTGTTTTATATCAGAAACAACTGACCTGGGAAATAGGTCAAGGAGAGATCTTTTAAGGATCTTTGCACTCCCTAAAAATTATGATTAACAAAAAAAAAAAAACCCTGAATATCATTTTTCAAGAAATCATAAAAGAAAGTTACTCAAATTTATAAAATAAAGATAGAGTCTACTGAGTACCTTTTGAAAAAAGAAAAAAAAAACTAAAGGAAAAGTTCCAGAAATATCATAGCCAAAATCCAGAGCTTCCACATTAAAGAAAAAAAAAATGCTATCAACATCCAGAAGGAAACAGTTCAAGCACCAAGGAACCACAGTCAGGATTACCCCCAAACCTGGCAGCTTTTACTAGGAATGAGAGGAGACTAGGAATACATTCCAGAAAACAAAAGGTAGATTCTTACAATGAAAAATAACTTGCCTTGCACATCTGAGTATGAATCTAAGGGAGGGCAAGGGGGAAGAGAGTTAGGGTAGGGAGAAATAAGATAATGGATCTTTAATGGAATAGAGGATTTTCAAGCATTTCTGATGAAAGGACTGGAATGAGTAGGAACTTAGCAACGCAAACACAAGAGTAAAGAGAAGCCTAAAGTAAATTTGTATGAGCAATTAGAAGGATCTGTATGATGAAGCAGTGTTCACTTCCCTGTGAGGAAACAACCCTTCAGGACATTCTTCAAAGAGAATTGAAGGAATTAAAGAAGAAAAACAGAAGAACTGGTTAGTACTATTCTGAGAGTTTTAAGAAGGGAAAGAGAAAGGAGAATAAATACCAGAAATGGACAAAGAATGATTCAACACACACCCCACTCCAAATCATTTGGTGTAGAAATACACCAGACTAAATAGCCAAATAAGGAGGAATGGGAGGATGGGGAAAGAGGAAAGATAATAGAAGGGAAGAAATAGTATCAGGAAAATAATGTTCCTGATCCTGAACGGGGAGATTAAAAGGAAAAAAGAAAAGCAAAGAACTAGAGTCTGGGAGGAGGGTGGGGGTACCCATC